GGATCCAAAACTTTTACAGATTTAAAATTAAAGCTTTAAAACTTTATGTTCAGAGAACAATATGAGTCAGGTCTTTATTTTTTTTTTTGGGGGGGGGGGGGGGGCTGGGGGCATGATTTCAATTTCCTACGTGCTCAATAATTATGATTGATTCCAGACAATTGATTGCAGAATCTTAGAGAGGTGGATCTAATAAAAATATTTACTTATGCAAATATTTTCTTCGGATGTTATAGACAATTATAGCAGTAATTTCCTTTAATATGATCAATTATTTTAATACCATACCCTGCATATTTCAGGTAGCACACCACGGTTATCTGTAAAAGTTTTGGATCCTTCCCTAATCACTGCTGACATCGTTTGTCTCGGTTTCACTGTAATGGGTAATACATGTATAAAGATTAGCGTTAATTGCGCTTTGATTGAATTCAGTCTAAATCTAAATCGGAGAAAATCCACAGAATTTCGTGTCGTGGATGTTATTAATCAAGCGCGGGTTAAGTCAGTGGTAGTGTGTATGTACGGCACAGGTACAGTCGCAGATGTTGTATATCAGGCACAGGTATACAGTCATAGATATACAAAATCTACGCTGTAGTAAATTTTACTTTTTAGAGATTATAGCGATCCATACAATGGATTTAGGCATAGTCAAGTTTACATAATTGTAGTTTCCTCTATATATTCATTAAGCCAGTTATCGTTACCTTTTGGCGATTACAGCCTTCCATAAAGTAGATTTGTTGGAAATCAGAAATTTTCTTTCCTCCATATTCGTATTTTTCATTAAAAAACAATCAATACTTAACAACATATAGTTAAATACGTTGAACAATCCGGAAAAAAACTTACTCTGACATTCCGTATTTGATATTAGTGAGCAGGTACAGTCATGGATGTCTGGTACCAGCATTGCCGAGTACAGTTGCGGATGTTAGCTGACAGACCCCACTCGAGTAATCAGAGAGATAGGGTGACTAGGGTACATGTTGTAGTTAGTGAATACTGGCAAATAGCCATGTCGTATAGCCAAGTCTCTCTTTGTGTACTTAATTGTAGCACTAGGCAAGTACAAAACACATATCTGTATATATTGCATATCTTACACACTAGGAAAGTGTTCATTTTATTTGGATATTTTGCATTCATTCCTGTAAGACTTGGGAAAACCAAGGAGGACCCCAAGAAGATCAAGGTATTTTTGAAATTCTAGTACAAAATAGCTTCATCTGTCAGTTTATTTTGTTTTAAACTTCTATGGATCCTTTAGTGTTGTATTATACTCAGGTGGCCCAGGCGCGTAGCTGCCTATACGCAAATACGCAAGTGCGTACACATCAATTTCAAAAAAAAAAAAAAGAAAAAAAAAAGAATTATTCGGAGAAAAAAATCTCAGTACCATCCAAGAAATATGTTTAAAATTAGAATTTCAAATTTTATCATACAGCCATGATAATTTAAAATTAATTTAAATCGAAAAGTATTCACTGCTATAAATATTACTATGTCTTTTATTTTACTATGTCTTTTATTTCCTAAATAAAAGCTAAATGGCCCAATTTCTATTTTGCAAGAAATGAATGAAATATTTGGTAAAACTCAGGAGCTTAAATCTAGGCCCTCATCAGCAGACACATAGTATCGCGGGGGGGGGGGGGGGGGGGCTCCACCCCAGCTTATTTTCAAACCTAACCTTTTACTATTGAAAATGTACATTGAAAGGGTGGACCCCACGGTTTCTTGTAGCATTGTTAAATCATGGTAATTTGGTAATGTTTTAATAAACTTTGGTTTGTGAAAGTTGGACCCCCCCCCCAAAAAAAAAACCCCACAAGAAATAGGACTCCAAATTTGACTTCTTTCTTCCTTGCTTGTCAAAGTTTTTAAAGCTGTAATTTTTTCCTGGCTGGCATAAACTATATTACGTGTCTGACCAGAGCCCTTGACACACTGGGGGGGGGGGGGGGGGGGGGCTCAAGACCCCCACCCCATCCCGGCCTGCCTTCCTCTGCGTACACATCATTTCCATTCTGGCTACGCGCCTGTGGCCGTTAAGGCCTTTGGGTCTCTTGTTAATTTATCCTCCCCGGAAAACTAAACTGGCCCTTGAGTAGGATATCCCCCGAAAAATGGGCTCTAAGAATAAGTTTATTTTAACTTTACATTAAAACCCATTTTACAGTCTATATACGGTAGGGGCTTGTCGTTTGTAACATTGACTCTGGCATGCGTTAAATATCTGTGAGCTATGACTAACTGCCGAGTACACTTCTAACATAAATTGATAATTGCATAAATTATTGATTGTTTTGTTTATGAATAGAGAAAACGTACTTCCGGATTAATATTTCAACCAGCAAAAAACGTACACAGGTTGTTATTTATAGAAAGGTGTATGGTATTTCCCGGATGCTTTGTTAACCTGCAACCGCGCCAGTATGAAACAGACACTACATATGTATAAAGAGAGACCTCTACAAGGTAAACACTTATTTTTTAGGGTTCTTACGCCATTAATTTCTTTATGCATTTGCCTTGGCAGGGAATTCATATTATGCAGATTATGTTTTTTTTTCTTTTATTAACCTTGCAGGGACGTGACGCGATGTATGAGAATCTAAAATTAGACTTGAATTTACCGTGACTGGGTTATGTTATACACTCTACATGAATATAGACTCGACATGAATAGACACTCCACTCTACATTTCTGTAAAAATACGAACACGGAACTGTGCAGATGTAGTGCATGCATATGCATTACAAGCTTTTTTATGATACGTGTTCCGCGCGATCTGCACTGATTTACTGAAATGGTCTTTAGTCTTGATGACAAAACTATGGATCATGTATAATTTAAGGACACCTGACTTAACCATGCTAATCCTGAGGTGATAAGAAGCGTCACAACAATAAACATATGTATGCATATTTTAACGTGAAAAACACTACGGGTCACTTTTTGTGTTATATTGCTATAAGTACTATTACTTAGCTACATGTAGTTATTTTAGCTAGTTAAGACTTGTGTGCAAGGTCAATTAAATTAGTCAAGTTTGGCAGAATGTCTTTTTTTTAAGTTTTACATTTTATTATATCGTATTGTTTAAAAAAAAAAATTTGATCACTGTTTTCATATATATTATCTTTAAAAAGATAATATGTGTAATTTTTTTTTATTTATTTCAACATCGAAGATATCAATTTTTGTGTCGATTTTATTTAAAATTGTATTTCAATCTAAAAAAAAAAAATAAATAAATGAAAACAATTCTTTTCAGTCAGCATACATGTCATTAATTTCTTTCAATAAAAATATACCTGTAAGCTGTTTAAATAGTATCAGGACAAAGCCTCTTTAAACTGAAATACTTCACTTAAACGTATTTACGTGATAACATCCAAGCCAATCAATTTAATTCAATCACACAAGTTTCCTCAGTTTAATGAAGCTTAAAAGTAATGCTGTTCGACTGCAATATTGTTTCAAGTTTCTTCATTTCCGGACGCCATCTGGCTCTCAGAGTATTAAGTACATGTTATTAAGAAAAACAAATCATCATTGTTGTTCATAAAGATGTAAACTTAGAAATTATTTGAAAGGAATGTTACAGAGAAATCACTGCTCATGCAAAATTATTTCAAAGGTATTTCATACATAACTTTAGCTATAAAGTTTGATTTTTATTTAAATGCGTAACACCTATTGATTATTTAAGGTATGAATATCCAAAGTTACCCAATCATACTAGTATAACTGGGGTCGCAGTTTATGCTTTATAAACCGCGAATCATTTTTTTTTAATGACGTATACTGTTTTAACCCCAGTTTATAAAATATTACTTGTTTAACTACTAAATTCATGGATTTAAAAGATACAACAAGTTATACCAGGTTGGGGCAATTTATAAACTGCTTCAATATGAAACTTTCAACCTAGTTTATACGAATATAACTTATTCCTTAAAATTCAATTTATAATTTAATTTAGACAAATTATCTTCGATAACTGCATACAAATGTAAAAATGTACAAATTAAAATTTTAATTTTCATTTCCATTGCGTGATATGTTTGTGACGTAATACTAGGGCATAGGGTACACAGATCATACGATATAAACTTTTTTTCATCCAATCAATTGGCGCCTCACAACCAGAATTATTAAATTAGTTATACCGGTAATTTAATTTCCAACAATTAAGTGAGGAAATTAAAAGATTTGTCCACAAAAATGGCATTAATATGTTAAAATTAAATATAACGTCAAGTGTTCTCATATTGTGAAGGAGACAACATAGGTTATACTTTTCTTAATCCAATCAAATAGTCTCTCAGTTTTAACCAGAATTAAATTATCATCAGATGGAAAAAAGTGTTTGGATCCTTAACGGAAACCCTGAAACTTTCAATTCCACTAGCCTACATTTAGCATAAGTATATAGAATATTGAATGCAGATAACAGTTTGTGGAAGCGATAGGGGGTAAGGTAATGATAGTAAACCGTCTTCATACATATTAACAGATATTGTATTTATATATATCATCCATCAAAAGTTAATTTTAACAAAAAGTAAGTTGTATTTGTATGATTGTAATGTTAAAATGAGAAAACACCTTTACTCTAATCTTTGATATCAACGACTATTGTAATGATGACAATTTTCTAACAGAAAATTGTTGAAGATTAAAATGTTAAAATGTTATGATGGAAACATATAGGTACTCATGTATGTCAATTTTAGACTTACCTCCGTCAATATAGGGTTATTCCACCTTAAAATCATTCAAACATGTAGATATTCAAATTTAATGACTGTATTAATACTCAAATGTTTGAATATTCAAATTAATTGCATAAGTATTTTAATTAAATAAATATTTTTTTTTTAAATTACATAGTAACTTTGGTGCCTGAATATATTAGGAGTATAAACATTTTGCATGCATATTTATTCATTGTATTTCTGTTTCTTCGTATACAGAGTAAAAAAAAATCCTTCACACCTATCCAAAAATGGTAGCCGGACTCTTCACACAGTTTCTGCTATTGTCATGGAAAAATATACTTCTGCAGAGACGAAAAATCTGTGTGACAATTTTTGAAATAATACTTCCACTGGCCTTTCCCGTGCTATTGATTATTATTAGAAATCTAGCTGATTACAACTTTGAGACCGTAGAGGCGAAAACATATGAAAAGGAAAGACTCAGTTTTGGATACACGTATAGTACAATCCTTTACGTCCCGAACACCACGCTTATTGAAAGTATCCTCAACAACTCACAAAAAATTATGAAAGGTAATTTATTCTGATATTAAAATAATGATAAAAAAAAGATATTTAGATTGTACCTCATTATAGTTTAAAGATAATATTGTGAGTGAATAAATATACTAAAATGGGTTTTTCTTTTCCAGAAAACAACGGAGATAGATATTCTAAACCCATGTTTAACCTAAAAGGTATGTTTTCAATATTCTAAATGAATGAAGGAAATTATGGAAGGCACGACTGTCTCAAGTTAACCTATATAAAACTGTCAATTTACGTTTCTTCTTATAACTTACTATACATGTCCAGGAAAGTTTAGTCATATTTATATGGAAGCATCTTCAGATAATGTAGATTTAAACTTGTTAAAATAATGATTTCGGGGAATTGGGTGGGTGGGTGGGTGTGTGTGTGTGTGTGGGGGGGGGGGGGGGATGAGGTGTGTCCAAAATAAGCGATCAAAGTTTAACATAGGATATATGGGAGAAAAGAACGGTAGAACGTAGTACCTCAGGTGAGCGTTGTTGTCCCTGGGCCTCTTGTATTTGAGTATTAAATAAGAATAAAATTATAATCCATTTTATTCAATGGCTTGTTATTGATCTGAATTTGCAGGCTGGAGTTAAATATAAAAATTTCAACATGATAAATAGAATATATATAAATTGTGCTTATGAGGCCATCCTTAAAATAATGTTTGTTTGCACTCTCCCGGCTCAGGGTTAAATAATCGGGTCGGTAGGTAGGTGGGAAATATTTTTTTCTTAAAAAAAATCTACATACATATTGACGGAATAATTAATTCAGGGATAAAAAGGAAAGAAATCGTTTCCTGGAGGTAAAAAGTTTTGGGTCGGGCCATTCGGTCGGGAGAGGACAAACAAACAATTTTTTAAGATAGCTGATTTGAAAAATATTATGGAGAAAAGTATATACTGAATATGCGTTTGCTCACAATTTTCAATTATTTTTCATACAAATATTAGGTGTAAATATTTGCGAAAAATGCGTGTTAATAAAAATGTCTTCTCAAAACTGTTAAAAAGTGTACTTTTCAAAGATTCAGCGTGAAAAAAGTGCCGAAATAATATTTTCACTATAATATTGTACTATTACTAAGAAAAGACGTTTACTGCTTAACTACACATTTTTTGATTTCAGGATTTGAAAGTGAAGCCGATCTATTAGAATATCTACGTCGCTCTGACAATGATTACGGCTACGGTTCGTATGGTACAACTGGAATCGTATTTGACCCGTCTCATTCGTATGAGTCCGGTCTTCCAGAGGTCATTACATACTCTGTGCGTATGAGTGGAGAATGGAAAACAGAAGAAAAATTCGCTGACAAGTCCTTTAACCCTGGACCTGCATGGGAAGATAGTAAGTGTAATGTTGTCCGATAAATGGGAAAATAGTAACTATTGTAATGTTGTCCTGATACATTGTAAATGCGAAAATAGTGTGTGTACGATAGTTGGGAAAATGATATATGATGATAATGAACAGTACTCATGCTCAAAAGACTATGGAAACTATACAAATTTTGAGCAGAGCAAACATGGGCGTCTAAAAACAGATGTGGGATCAGGTACCATGGAGGAGTAAGCATTCCCAGTCGATCGGTCACAACCGCTGTGTGCCCTTTGTCATGACCGAAATCTGTTTTATTTTATTATGGAAGTAATGGCCTAACAATGTGTATGAAAGACATCTGTCAATATTCAACCTAACACCAGATTATATTTGTAAGGTCATTGTTTCGACCATAGAATTTGCGAAATGTTGACATCAAACGAGATTGTAGATACCCTTGTATCATAGCTTGTTTATCAGTAGCCTACTCGTTTTAGAAATTGTTCATACAAAGAACATCCTCTAATGTATTGAATCAACTTTGAGAAATACACTGCCCACCATAGATAAGTAAACACACAGGAAATTGAATGTCTTTTGTCTATAAAGATATAAAAAACAGAATTAACCATGAAGAAAATTTAATTTATAATGTGAAAATGAATTGTAAATGATTTAATATCAAAACATTTGAAAAAAATCATGAAGATTTACAATTTTTTGTTCAGTCTATCAAAATATAGTGAATAAATGTCAATATTTGGTGTATCCACCATGGGCTTCAATAACTGCTTGTATTCTTCGCGGCATACTTTTTATAAGGTCTTGGCATCTTTGGACTGGAATATTGTCCCGTGCATCTAAATCGCGTCACAGGTTCTCGAATGGATTAAGATTAGGACTTTGTGGTGGCCAGATCGGTAAACGCAGGTTGTTAGTTGCCATCCAATCCTTAACAATTTTGGATTTATGGCATGGTGCATTGTCATCCATATACATGTATACCCCATATGCAGGTGCCAATGCTGTATTACTACACAAATAAGGGAAGTTGACGATAAAAAAATTGAAGTCATCATGTTAATCATAATTTTAGTTGTTAGTTTGCAATCAATGTCCTTATCTTAAATGTCATAAAGATGGAATTGTCCATTACCGTAGATGTCTCCCGCTTTCGTTCGCCAGTCCCACCATAGTTCGGATTACGCAATGACAAGTTCTCTAGACACGATGGTATTTCAAGCTAATGAAAAAAATCCCGATTTTTTTTCACAATAAAAACACCATCTTCGCTAGCCAAGGGTTTTTGATACGCTACTCTCCTCATAAACCCTTGGCATACGGTGTTAAAAAAAGTTGGGATTTTTTTTATCAAGTTGTGATTGGAGTTGGTCGACATCGTTCGACCAATCAGCAATTGTTTTTTGTAAATGACGATATTTGCGGATATATCTTGACTGTTTAATATCGGGAATGAAAAACGCAAGTAAACAACGATCCGTAAGATTACATGCCATTCTATGAATAGCTATATTGCGTCATCCAATAACTTAAGCTACGTGCAACATATGTGATTAAGAATCAATACTGAAGATGTAGATTTGCATTTTAACATATTTAAATAACAAAGCAACATAACTCAATATCCTCTTGTTAATTATTCTTTAAAAACATGATTTTTTTTCAATACGCTTTTTATTTCTGTCGATGACGCAATCTGTGCGTACCTGGTAAGAATCGTTATCACGTGACGAAAACAATCCAGTCTTTTGCCAGCACCGTATGCCAAGGGTTTATGAGGAGAGTAGCGTATCAGAAACCCTTGGCTAGTGAAGATGTAAAAACACAAACTCTAAAATTCGCGATATCTTATATACGTCTGTCTCTGTACCACGCTAATAAAATATTTAAATATGTAGAAGTTGTGTCAGACTCTGAGGCGTTTTCTTTTATTTCGAGTTCGGTGAGATATATCAAAAATATTATATAAATACTGCATGTAGTTGAGTGTTATATTGAAAATGTTCACCCCAAGAAAACCATTGTCAACCGAGGCGCAGCCTCGGATGACAATGGTTTTCTTGGGGTGAACATTTTCAATGTTACACTCAACTACATGCAGTATTTATTATATTTTACTGAATGTTTTATACAGATACATATTACAGTGAACTTTGCGCGCATAAATTCTGCGCAGTCAGTATTTTTTTTAATAACACCCATCGTCAAGCAATGTTGACTGTTGCTATGCTGGAGGGCGTGACTTCATTATTCAGCGGGTAATAGTGTTTTTTAACAAATGTTTCTCGACGAATCAGATCAACTAATTTACATGAAAGTATAATATTAGCGTATAAATAAAAATGACTATAATTGTTAATCGATAAACTCTCGTAGTAATCACCATTGTTTAAGATGCCCTAGTGATGTATGTAGTAAAAGTGGACAACTTTACATCTATGAATAATAAACATATCTCATATTGACATCATGAAACAAATTATATATTTTGTAGATGGCGATGTCATTCACCCATGCTAATAAATCTATTTTGAATAAGTACATATTCGAACATTTTAGTTTTAAGTACCATAAATCATAATGAAAATTTGGTGTACTTTAAATTAATATTTACTGTTTAGATTACATAGGTTGGGGCTTCCTTGGAATCAAACAATCTATAGATGCTGCTATAATCAAATATTTCAATTCCACTCTTAATCTGATGGACATCAGTATGCAGCGGATGCCTTACCCGCCATATTTGAAGAATAGTTTAGGACAGTTTATCAGGATATCTGTTTCTACAACCACAGTTCTTGGTCTCATTTTGTCAGCCTTGCAACTAACGAAAGAAATTGTGTATGACCGGGAGAAGAAGCTGAAGGTACACCGCTTACAAGATATCATAGTATATGTTATGTATACTGATCAGTAAACATTATTTGGAGAAATTTTAGAAATCTTTATAAAAATACAAGAATAAAAAAAAGAGTAAATAAGAGCCATTTCAATTTTACAGGAAACGATGAGGATGATGGGACTGAGTTCCTTTGTTTACTGGTTCTCCTGGTTTTTTAAAGGATTTATCTATCTGATCATCACCTTTGCCATCACCGTTCTTATCTTTCAAGCTGGAACCAACAAGATGTTTGAATTTTCCAGTTCCTCTTTAATTTTCTTTTTCTACTTGTCCTATGCAGTATCGGTTGTGTCATACTGCTTTTTATTCAGCACATTTTTTAACAAAGGTGAGTTAATATTTAGAAGCATACCAATGATGTTTTTTTGATTTAAGGGAACAAGCTTTTTGTAAAGAGAACACAGTATGGAATACATGTAAAATGATGCACCTTTTTTAAATACAGTAAAATACCCCCCCCCCCCCCCATGTACTGCGATAATGGCATATCTTTTTAAAGGTGGCTGAATAAGTTTATTTTTTAATTGTCAATAAAGAAAGTAACATGAATTGTCTTAAAACAGAGATGTGATCTCGTCTTATGAAAAAAAATGTGGGATTATCTCCTGCTCAGGTACACTGCTAGCTATTCTATTTAAGTCCTAGTTTTATGAATCTTAAACAACTTCCGATTTTATGAAATGTTTGAATTTCTTTCTTTTTAGCAAATACAGCATCGTATTTTGCTGGATTTTTCTTTTTTGCCACAATTATTCCAAATTTTGCCCTTGATTCAAAGTATGAAAACATGACACGATCACAGAAGATGGCATTATGCTTAATAAACAACATGGCCATGGCGTTTGGGTTTACATCTGCGTCAGAATACGAAGTAAGAGGTATCGACTCCATAGGATTATTTACATTATTTGTTACTTTATACACATGCCCTGAACACGTTGTCTTTAGTTTTAAAGGTTTTATCAATTGATTATAAGATATTATGATTGGGAATCTGCCAATAAATATAAGCAAGTTAAATTTTGAGCTAATCTTGAAACACTATCTAGGTAATGGAGTTCAGTGGAATACCTTCACCAAACCACCAACAGTAGATGGTGATTTTACCTTTGGCGATGCCGTCTTGATGCTATGGGTGGATAGTGCAATCTATCTTTTGATCACGTGGTATATAGATGGCGTCAGGCCTGGAGAATATGGAGTTCCTCAACCATTTTATTTTCCATTTACGGTTTTATTATTTTTATTTCATTTATTTTTTGCAGTTCCATTTATGTGTGTGTGTGTGAGAGAGAGAGAGAGAGAGAAGTTCTTGTAAATATTTTCCTTGAATTGATATCATAAAAGGTGTTGTGACTTTGTGTATATGCCACCTATCTAAATAGAAAACAGACACACACTAAGGCAAATTTCTGCCCATATTCTCTAACATTCAAACAAAGCATATACTGAATTGACAGTATACCTAGTTTAAAATCCCTTTTAGCTCGGTTTGCTCTATTTGATATTTATTTTATATTCCATTTTTTTTTGTAAATTTAAAGTTAAATTTGATGCATATTATGAAAGTAGCACTCATTTTGTCTTCTTTTTTTTGTCTCACTTATGTATTATAGCAAACTGTCCTCAAGAAATCGCCAATATTCACTAATTTTGTAGAAAGAGAAAAAAATCATTATTTTAGAAGCGCATATTGGTTTGATTTGATTTAGGTTAATATTTTCTAACAAATGTTTATATAGAAAACGTACTGGTGCGGCGGGCGACAGACCCAAAAAGCTTCAGATGATGAAGTTAAACATAATCCGAAATATTTTGAAAAAGAACCGTCAGATCTGGAGATTGGAATAAGCATGAAACATTTACGTAAGGTAAGTTCATCAGTCATTGTGGCATTTCAAAGCTTTTTACTAGCATTCATTCAAATAAGTCTTAAGATTTTATAATGCATGGAATACACAGTTACTAAGTATATCAACAAAAACTGAATAAAATACTCATAAAGTTGCAATTGGTGGCTTGTTCTATTGAAAAAAAAAATGATGGTTTTTACAGGTTTACAAAACAGGAATGAAAGAAACAGTCGCTGTGGAAGATACGTCTCTTAATATTTATCAAGGGCAGATAACTGCACTGCTAGGACATAATGGTGCAGGAAAAACAACAACCATGTCTATGTTGACTGGTAAGACATTAAGCATTTATCAATTTAAAAAAAAACTTCACTCTAAATATATCTTTTTTAATTGCTTAATTGGTTTTGTTAAGGATTTATTCCATCAACTTCCGGATCTGCGAGAGTAAACGGATATGACATAAATGATGACATCAGTAGTGTGCGGGGAAGTCTTGGTATGTGTCCTCAGCACAACATTTTGTTTGACACTCTCACTGTAAAGGAACACCTAGAATTTTATCATAAGGTAATATAAATGAGTCTGTTAAAGGACTATCTCATCATTTCCAGATTAAAACCACAAATCGTCATTAGTTTGGACTTCCAGTAGAATACTGTACGTGTACATAAATTGGCGTATTCAAAATTAGCGCAATCACTGGGTATGGAGTTGTTGGCGAAATCATGAATTAGCGCTGTACATGTCCGTGCCGTATATTGCATTTACAAATGATTTATTAACGGTATTCATAAATAAGTGCATCGTTTTCTGCGCCAAAGCCGCTAAAATATGAAGCCCGCTTTTTTAAATACACATTCAGTATTCCTTGCTTCTGTCTGACGTCACCCCTTAATGTAAAAATTTGACATATACTGTTTATTGTGACTGAAATATTTACTTTGAGATTTCTCTTAACAGCTTAAGGGATGCAATAAAACTAAAATGAATGAAGATATCAATGAAACGCTGTCCCTTTTTAAACTCGAAGAGAAAAGAAATGATCTGGCTGGAACCCTTTCAGGTGGCCAAAAAAGGAAACTGTCCGTAGCTATAGCACTTATTGGAGGCTCAAAGGTACAAAATTCATGTTTTATGTTTTTGTATTTCCTAATATAGATGTCTAGTTATTTTGTAGGGTACATTTCGTTTATTTTTGTTAAAACATTTTATTAAGGATTTTGATGGAGTTTACTCACATATCCATAAAATACAAAAACTTCTTGAACACTGGTCATTAGACGCACATTTAACGTAATAGTGTTGTGTTTCCTTCTCTTTATGAGACAGTTCTGTTGTGTGAACCAGTGACTAGCTTCTTTATAGACAACAATAAAATTCATAACTTTCTGGTATTTACTAGTTTTTTGCCGTAAAGACCTTGGAACTCGCTTGCAATTTTTGGCATACAACCTGTAAAATTCCAGATATGCTCCTGCAGATATTTGTATGGTTGTAGAAATTCAATTTTAGTGCAATTTGTTTGGTGCAGCTGAACTTTTCTAATTAAAGAATGCCAATATCTCAAATGTTAATTAAAATTTTGGGAAAAATAACATTTTACATTTTTCTACAGTTTACTAAGAGAGTAGGTAGTGTGGATTCAGTCATGTCAATGATGATCCCCGAGGGTAGGGTGCAATTTTAACAAAGGAATATTTTGGAAAAAATCTTTAAAATCTTTTGCTCAAAAACAGCAGAGCCATTCGTTATATTGGTATGGAAGCATCCTAAGGTAGTTTAAAATTTAAGTTCCCTCATGTAAACTTTTCAATACTGAACTGACTTGTGCTTTTTCCCAGCCAATGTGCTCAGTTGAGCGATATTGCCCATGGGCCACTTGTTTCATTTTTTTATGTTGTTGTGCTATTCGATTACTGAGACTTTATTTCAATTATTATATATATATATATATATATATATATATATATATATATATATATATATATATATATATATATATATATATATATATATATATAATTGTAACTCAGGTAATTATACTAGACGAACCTACGTCAGGCATGGATCCTGGGGCACGGCGCCAAATGTGGGATATCCTTCAGAAATTTAAAGAGGATCGAACTATAGTACTCTCTACTCATTTCATGGATGAAGCTGATGTTCTTGGTGACCGTATTGCTATAATGGCCGACGGAGTAGTCAAGTGTTGTGGTTCTTCGTTGTTCCTAAAGACTCTTTATGGTATGCTAAAGGTGAACTGTAAGAAACAAATATTTCATATATTAAATACATGTATTTCATTGCATTTGAATCGTGGCATAGATGAGATTGAATGTCGTTTTCTTTCCAGAGGTTCTTTTGTTAGAGGGTCTAGAAAGAGAACAAAAAGAAATACTTTATAGGGGAAATCATTGTGAATATTGGGCTATCATAGTTGTTATGTTAAGAGAAATTTAAGTTAAGCGTTAATTTACGTTTTTTTGAGTACGAATTAGATGAAAAAAAATTAGATTAGGATATATAAGCACATGCTCTGAGTGTTGGGATTTTGTTGTAACTTGATAGAAATTTGCAGGCATTTGTTATCTTTAAAAAGATTGATTGAATATTGTTTCATTCGAGAAAGGAAATACTAAAAATAACTGTTTTGAAAGATTTAAAGGTACCTGAAATTTCAATTATATGAAATAAAATTAAATGTTTGCTTACGAAATTTGCAAAATTGATGCTACATGTACCTTTCAATTTCAATAATTTCTTCTTGCATACTGAAATATCGCGCGTGTGAGGAGAATGATGATAATTAAATAATCATGGATATTTATTATCTTAAACCCAATTTCAAATGACCATACTCGACATTGTTTGATGACAATGGCTTTCTGTTTTGTATAAATGTCTTGTAAAATCGTTTGTTTCTATATCTGTAAAAACTCTGCTCACGGATTTTTATATCACTCTCTCCAAGAGTTCAAAAAAATATTTATACCCAAACACTTTCTTTCAGTCTATCTGTCAAATGTGAATTTTCCACATTTTTGTCTTATTCAGTGCCATTTGACCAATTTCATGTAAACATGGTGCTAGCATTCCAGTAGCCCTTTTCACAAAAAAATCTTACGACATATTTTTATCTTAAGTGAAAACTTACGATAAAAATCATTTTCACAAAAATTCTTAAGAAAGTCGTAAGTGCAAAATCTGTCGTAACAAGAGCCCCAACCCTCTCTTAAGTATTTTAAAACAGATTTAATTGTAAAAATATAACCACAAAAACCAAAATACACGTTAAATTGAACGTTGTAAAGCAACTTACAATAATATTTTATATTTTCTTCACAATCATTGTCGAAAAATTAAATGAAATACACTACAAAATATTTACGATGTAAGTTTCACTTAAGATTTTCGTATGACCTACTTTTACGTCAGACTTGTAATTGTGACGTCAGATTTTAAACTTCCTTGCTTCACAAATGATTGCATTCGATATTTGTTGTCAATAATGTTTGTTATGCTGACAATTGTTGAAAACTAAGTTTTATTTTATTTTCACCCACTTATTTAAGGATTGTAAAGCATATTGAAGTCGTTGCTTGGGATGAAGTCTGTCGTAAGTAAAATCTTAAGTTCAATCTGCTACGAATGCGTTCGTGAAACGCACTTAAGATTTGTCGTAAGATATTCTTAAGGGAGCCGACTGGGATTTTATTGTGTGAAAACTACTATAGAGAAACTCTTTAATTTTATACCCTATATACCTTACATTGACTTCAGTATACATGCCAAGTTTAGTGAAAATCTACCGTCTGGTTATTTTTCAGGGACCGTCTCAAAATACGGGTACATTTACTATAGGATTATATAGGAAAATACCATTTTTTCGCACTTCGGAGCAAACTATACAAATACTACTATAGACTTTTTGCTCAAATTTTATTATTTGATGGGTAATACTATATTGTACATTTTGTGCAAGAAACACAAAATTCTACCGTCTGGTTTCCAGAGGGGGCATCTCAAAATGTCAAAATTCATGATATTTTCCTTTTTTTTATAGAGTAAAACAAAACATGACAGATAAAACAGATTTACATAAAAAATAGTAACAATGATTGCTATATTCTCAATGTCCTATGTTTAAAATTCCAAGAGCATACATTTTATACTTTTTATTTTATGGCATAATTAATGACCCCACTTAAAGAACTTCGGTTATTCATAACGTCAAAAACACACTATTACGACGTCTTTCTACCCATCATTTGAAAAATCGTTAAAAAAAATCAGTTAATTAAAAACGTAATTAGATTTTTTGACCTCATATTTCCTAAATTTGTTATTTTTTATAAAATATGTAAAACTAGTTGCTTTAAAAGAGTAAATACGCTTTATTTTACTATGCTGCGCGAAGTATTGCGCAATGAAAACCCCAGTCGGCCCCCTTAAGTTAAAATCTTATGCAAAAACTTAAGATTTTTTGTGAAAAGGGCTACAGGACAATTGCAAAGGGTATACAACTTTATTCAAACGGCTCGCGGCCCTTCTGTAATTAATAAACAGAAATGATGTGGCTATTTAAAACACTTCTTAAAAACCATTGGGCCAAAAAATTATAAGAAAGGTTCTAAATTATTAAGGGTTCATGCAAGTTCAAAAAGTGGTACCTAGGGCAATATCTTTTTCATTGATATATGTTTGTAAAATCTTTAAAACCTTTTTTTTCTCAAGAAGTATTTAATCAAATCATAACCCTTTTTGGCGAGAGTGGTCTATGGTGGAGACCAAGGTTTTACTCAAAAATATTTAGCAAAACATAAAGGCCACAAAGTAGACAAGACATCAAAAAACGATATACCATACTTTAAAGTTTTCGAAATAGTTCATAATAAGAGGTTTGCATTATTTACATATTTATTTGTCAGAAAGAGAAAAGTGAATGAGGTGAGGATAGTAGCCTATGGTCCTCATGTTATCATAGAATATTACATTATAGGTATTTTTTCCATGACGTTTTAAGCAAAAAATTTTCAACTTAAGAGACAGCATAGCTTTTGTAATCAAAACATGTTTCCATGCACTTTCTCTTTACCGATGCACTGTATTAATGGAACTATGTCACTTTTAGGTGCTTCATACTTTAAATATAAACATATAAAGATTTCTACATTCTTTGAAAATAATTTTTAGCATCTGTTTACCCTTCCTTCACATCTAATTTAGTTTTTATCTACTCAGTTTTAAATGTAATTTACAGGTGCTGGGTATCACTTAGTAATGGTAAAGGAGCCACAGTGTGATGTTGCTAAATTATTGGACGCAATAAAAGGACACATTCCCTCAGCCTTCTTGGAAACTGAGATCGGCGCAGAGTTGTCTTTTATTCTTCCCACGGAAGGGTCACCCTCTTTTGAAGACCTGTTCACAGAACTAGAGGAGAATGCCCCAAAATTTGGGATCAGTAGCTTTGGAATGTCTGCGACAACGATGGAAGAAGTATTTTTGAAGTGAGAAACAGTGGTTTAATTACTGTCCGTCCAAGATTTCTTTTTCAAGTTTTTTTCTGCTTTAGGCAAATTTCGCTCACTTTTCGTTCTTGTGGCGTCCAATATTGTGTATGTTCTGATCTTAACAATTTTAAGGTAATGCATGTGTGAATACGTCTTCTAGCTTACTATATAATTTCACTCAATGAAATGACGCAAAAGCGAATATCTTTTCAATGAAAGTTTGAGCGTTGAATTGTCTGAATATTTTATTGATAGTCGAAAGTGAAAAAAAAATAGGATAAATCATTTGTCTAATATTTTAGCCGGTTCATACCAACAGATAGGTAAAAACTTAGACAAGATACTGCGTATCTATCCTTTCAGTATCCTACAATGATTTGCTGATAATTATACCCCTCCTCCGATGGAGAGAGGGTATAATGTTTTTCCCTTGTATGTCTAGCTGTCTTTGTGTCTGTCCGTAGCAAATTTCCGTCAAACAGATGGTTTAGGTCAAAACAAAAGCAATGAAAAAAAATCAAATTCATTACGTAATCTTTTTTTTTTTACACTTTTCACTCTCCCCTTATACAATAAACATTTCCGGAAAATATTGTTTACAGGGTTATTTTCGCCCTTTCACACTTGCAAACAATTCAGCCCCTTTTTCAATTCGCCAAGACGGTTAAATTCGTCCACTTGCAACGAGGGTGAAAGGGCTACAAAAACGGATGCAGAATTTTCCCTGTATACAATTCAACAAGATCTTCTTCCTACGGAATTGTCGTCCTAATTGTTATTTATTGTTCGTCATGTTGACTCTTCTCTCTCGAAATTATTTGTGGTGTGAACTATGATAAATAGTTTCTTGAGATTTTGTACACCGATTCTTACATGCCCCACGTACAATTTCTAATACGAGACAAGTTATTGAGAAACACGTTGATGAAACAAGGATATCAACTGTCTCGTTTCAAGGCATCCTTTCGCAAGTACAATCTATCAATAAGTCGAATGCTGATTGAGATTTTTTATACTAATTGAGTAATTGTTACGCCATTATTTATACACTGAATTTTCTACGGATTTTTTCCGTTTGCCTGATTATGACAATAAGCACACGACGGGTGTGACCGGTCGACAGGGGATGCTTACTCCTCCATGGCACCTGATTCCACTTTGATGTTTCTAGAGGTCCTTGTTTGCTCTGCTCCCGATTTGTGTTGTTTCAATTGACTTTTCGTTATCTCCATATATTTATTAAATATATTGAAGATGAAGGTCAGTTGGTGTCTACTTATATCTTAGCCTTTATCGTTTTTCTTGGGGGTCAGACTTTCATTGTTGTAAATGATGGGGTAATATGAAATTGTGCACCTTTCAAAAACTATATTGAACTGAAAAAGGTGAAGATAATGAACAGTGATTGATCTCAAAATATCTATAAACAATATCATTGTGAAAAGGGCATAAAACACGGACCCCTGGAAATTTCAGAGGTGGGTTAAGCTGCGTAGGGAAAGTAAGCATCCCCTGTTGACCGGTCACACCCCTGTGAGCCCAGTGTATTGATCAGGTAGACGGAACATTCCGTAGTCAGAATAAAAACAAAAGCCTAACAAGTCAGCCAAAATACGACCCAATGGTAGGTTATATTTACAAACAAGGTCATTATAACGACCATAAAATTTACGGAATGCTGTTAAAATGCTGTTGAAATTCCTGTAACATCAACCTAGCTATCTTTCGGATGCTTGTCTCGTTTTAAAACTTGATTTTACTTGTTGCATGCTCTTTAGTAACTAATAACTTTAGAGATGTAAGCACCACATGCAGGTGATAGCGGGATATTACTACATAAATAAGGAAAATTAACGATAAAAAAGTTTAAGTCATCTCGTTTTTCATACAATTTAGTTGTTAGGTGGTCCTTATCGTCTATAGTCAATAAAACATCCAAATATTAAGCAGATATGGCAGATGTGGTGTCTTTTATTTCAAGCTCACTAGGATATATCGAATCGACAACATATGAATGAAAATAACTATTGTCAATTGATATTACATCGTCGATGTATCTAAATGTCGAGTTGAAAGCCCTAACAAGTGTTTTCTTCCCATGTCATAGGAATATAAAAACAGGTCGGCTAATAAAATGAATTTATTGGGTTACATATATATAGGCATACCTTCACATGTACTGTGCCTTCTACCATAATGCATCTTTAACATGCTGCTCCATCAAAACTATGAAAATTTATGAAAGTTTGCTTTGTACTGTGATGTCAATATTATGCGAAATACCTTTCACCTGATGAATGTCCCGTTACTTCTGTTGGACCTTAAATGTATGTCTGTTTTGAAAAAAATTCAGGGTAAAAGACGATGCTGGGAACGGTAACAAAGCTTACAATGATGACGAAACGGACACTCACTTCGTGCAACTTGATATGGCAGAGGGCGCGTCATTACACCCCAACACCACAGAAAGAAATGATGAGATAGGTATGTTGGTAGTTTTTATTTCTATTTTTTGTTTCTATTATATGTCTAGTGTAGGAAACTAATGTTACCCAGGTCAGTGTGACATTTTCAGTTAGTAAAATTGTTGATTTCTTCAATGAAACTTGTAATAGTTTATATTTAGTACCCACCTTAAAGTTAAACATTCTATAAAAATATCCTTTTTTACACATTAAGTAATGAAATATATGGAGATAACGAACAGCATTCAAGCCCAAAGTCCATTATACAATACAAAACAGGAGCAGAGCAAACACGGACCTCCAAACACTAGAGGTGGGATCAGGTGCCATGGAGGAGTGAGCATCCCCCGCCGACCGGCCACACCCGCCGTGCGCTCCCTGTCACGATCGGGAAACAACGGAAAAATCCGTCGACAATTCAGTGTGTAAATAATGGCCTAACAATTAGTATGAAAAACGTCAGTCAGCATTTGACTCAATGATAAATTGTATTTGAAGTAAATAACGAAAAGGTTCATATGTTGTGGCGAAAGCGATATTCAAACAGGGAGGGTTGGCGTATCGAAATGGTGAAAGTGTTAACAAAACATTATTCTTCAATGCAGTTGGACACGTGGAAAAAAGGGCTAGATAACCACAAGTAAAATGGCTCTACGTAGTTTAAAAAATACTTTGAGTATCTTAACTAAGGACATCCCCTTCCCTATTTCTAACATAAAAAGAAAATTAAAAAAAAAAACAAAAAATGCTTAAGAGAATACATACCGGAGAAGGTTAAAGAGTGGTTGAGTTTGACAAGGATGAAAAAATCAAGAGGAAGGTATCATAAATGGTTTTAATTACATTTGATTTAGACCTGTAAACAGACTAATAAATCCTGGCTTATTTACCAAGATCAAATCATACTCTTTACTTTGTTTTTTTTCAGATTTTAACAAAGGGTTTGAAAAGAACACCGGAATATCAGCCATTTTCCAACAATTCCGTGGATTACTAATGAAGAAAGCATTACATACATGGCGAAGCCGATTTATGATCATAATTCAACTCACTGTGCCTGTTTTACTTGCAATATTTGGTCTGCTTGCTGACCAGTCAATTGATAACCTGAAACCCCATCCCGATCCACCACTACCATTAGATCTGCAACCTTATCCAAACTCCATAACAACATTGACTCGAGGAATTAATTCCCCAGCAATATCTGAAAATATGATTCAGGAGTATTCAAAAAATTTCCGTAAAAAGGGCTTGGATGTGGTTGAGTACGACTCTAATAATTCATCCGGGTTTAACATTGACAAGTTTTGGCTAGATCGCATGAAGCAAATAGGACAGAGAACTTTTAATTCACGGTATGTAATTGGTTTTGGATTCGACCAAAATGAGATCATCAGTTATTATAACGGTGAAGCGCTTCATGCTAGTGGTATCAGCTTGTCTATTACAATGGATTTCCTTCTTAAATTCTACTGTGGGAACGCTAAAAGCATACAAACCATAAACCACCCATTTCCACCAAGTGAGGAATTAAAGCGTTCAGCTCAGAGCTCAGGATTTGCAACCTTCAAAGGACTAAGTCTTGCTCTTTGTGTTTTATTTGGACTTTCCTGTTTAGTGGCTTCTTTTAGCGTGTTTCACATCAGAGAAAAATCTTCTGGCGCCAAACACTTACAAAAGGTTAGTGGAGTCGGCTCCAGGGTTTTCTGGCTGGCCAATCTCACCTGGGATTTTATTCATTATCTGGTCCCAATTTTTCTCATTCTGATTTGTTTTGCTGCATTCCAAATTCCAGCATATACGGAAGAGAACAGACTTGGAATTGTGTTTCTGGGTTTGTTTCTATTTGGCCTAGCATCAATATCATGGATGTATCTCCTACATTTTATATTCCGATCGCCTGCAGGTGGAACGGTAGCTATGATAATTATCAACACTGTCGCAGGTGGGTTAATTATAACTGTATTCATAAAGAACACTACAGTTTTTATTTTACAAATTCCTTAAATACACTACCACTTGCTTATCCGTTATCTTCCGTGTAGATTTCCTTTTGAGGTGCACTTAAAATTGAAAATTGATGTTGTAATGGAAACTTCAATACGCAGATGGAAAATTCTTAATTTAAAAAGAGGTCAAAAATTCCTTGAATTGTAAAATTCTTGAAACCAAGATCCAATTTTGGATCTATTTTTAATAATTTTATCTACATTTGTAGAGACAGACTTGATCTATGTCGTGTTTGAAAGCTAGCTCAGTTTGAATCTCATTTTGATATTTTTATCTACATTTGTAGATAAAGACTTGATTTATATAAGTGAATCTAGTTGAGTCTCATTTGTCATAATGATTGGTCTTCTGCTTTCAGGTCTCTTTACTCTGCTAACGGTCACATTTCTCTATCCGAGTAAAAAAACCAGAGACGCTGCAGAGACAATGGATGATTTGTTTATGATTTTTCTGCCACATTTCTGTTTGGGAAAAATGTTTACGAACATCTATGTCCGATACTCGCTTCGAACTAAATGTAAACAAGACTTTGGTTCGCTTCTTTCAGCACTTACTGGGATGAAAGGTATTTGTCAATCTCTCAAACATATACTTACCTGTTTTAAGTACATGTAAAACTTTTATTTTTCAAATATTTTAACTTTATGAAAAAAGAATCATTTGAGGCTTATGCTTCTTTAAATTCAATTTTTATAACCAAGAATATTGTTCCCTCTTCTGAGCAGAATTCACACTGTTCTCACAAATTTCGCCAAAAATCTTTCTAAAAAATTTAGTGTTGGCAAATATCTATCCTACGTAATAATATACGTTGTCCATGGACGTAGAACAGGGCACTCAAAAAAGGAGGAATCCGAAGTGAGCGAAAGTAATGAATTTACCGTTTCACATATTGTTCATATTAATAAATGACAATTTTCATGACTTATTTGTAGTGATAAAAAATATTGCTTTGAATTGGCATAAATTTTATGAAATATAATTATCTCATAATTTGTTTTCTTTAAATGTGATTTACAGAACAGTGTCCCGACGAAAACTACTTAGAGTGGGATTATCAAGGGTGTGGTCGATACCTGTGTTTTATGGCAGTACAGTGTGTCGTTAATATGACGTTCGTGCTTCTCCTGGATAGTGGAATAGTAAACCGTCTTTTGTATAGAACTCTGTGTAGTTCAAAAAGTGGCACTGCAGATTTGGAGAGTGATCAATACACTAGCCAGGATTCAGACGTATTGGAGGAAGCTATGAGAGTAAACTCGACTAACCAGAGCGATCTGATGAAAACCGATAAACTTATAATCAAAAACTTGAAGAAAACATATGGCCTCATAGATCACTTTTATGCAGTGAAGGGAATAAGTGTAGGAATTTCTGAACAAGAATGCTTTGGACTGTTAGGACAGAATGGCGCAGGGAAGACGACAACTTTTAAGATGTTGACTGGTGATATAATGATTTCTAGCGGGAAGGCCTACATAAACGGTTTTAGCGTCTCGAGTCATCTAAGACAGGTGCGCACTTTTCATGATACAAATGTTTCAAACACTGAAAGGGAAAGTTTTATCCTTATATATTTTACTAAATTTTTGCCAAAACTCGGGAGAAATAATTGTGAAATCATGTAACATTAGATTTGATGCTTTTTGCTTAAGGAGGGAATCTTCTCATATTTCTTGTATTTAAAAATTAATGAAATTTTCATAGCATTAAGAAACATTATCACAAAGTGATGGTATCAATTAAATTAAATTTGATCGTTTTATTTCAGAAGCAAGGCCAGGTCAAGGTCATTATCCCTTACCTTGACATTTAAATAAAAAAAACTGTTGCTAATCAAGTGATGCCTACTTCTATTTTAAAAGATAAAATGTTTTTCTTTCTGCGCAAAAAGATGTAATCATATCGGTTTTATCAGATGATTCTACCAAATTAATTGACATTATTTAACTTAAATAGATATTGACTCATTCGAATTTCCTCTGTTTTTTCTTAATATTTTAGGATATATTTGATATTTTTATATGCTTCTTATTTTTAATATTTCTTATTTTTACGTATGGTAAAGTTGTCATATAGATATACAAAATAATACAAAAACAACAAGTTTTCATCGTTTAGTAAGAGAGAAAAAACACGTTTTACTGATTTTTTGCCCAAATCTGTTTTAGGCTGGAAGTTTTCAAAAGCTAGCAAGATTGTTGTTTGTTTAGAAAATCATTATTATTTGCTATATTTTGAACTTTAGGGCATTATTTATTAATTTAAGTTACATTTCAAAATTTGTTGAAGTCTTTGATTGTTAAATAAAATTAATTAAATGTATTGTTCTGTAAATGATTCTGAAAGGCAGAAAAGGAGATATTTTCATACGCCGCAGTTACTCCAAAAATATAGTCCCTGCTGGATTTCAAATTCAGGTTACCATTTCTATCTAAAATTGTACAATTATGAAGAGTAAAGAAAAATATGATCTTTTAAATACATTACAGTTAAGTATATAGGACATACAAGCAAATATACTTGAAATATTTCGTCTAGTCAGAAACCAGATAAGAATCCCTCCTTAACGAAATTGAAATCTATGAACAAGGGAAAAATTAAGTAAGTAAGTAGGTGCCGAAAAATTAAAAAAATTGAAATATGTCTTAATATTAATAAACATAAATAAAATACTTGATGACTTTCCTTCCCCAGGTCCATCGTTGTCTTGGATACTGCCCTCAATTTGACGCTCTGATCGATAGTTTGACAGGAAGGGAAATTCTTACCCTTTATGCAAGACTGAGAGGGGTCAGGGAGAGAGAAATCAGACGGGTCATTAACGATCTTTTGGACGCAGTCACCCTTACAGAATATGCTGACAAATTGTGCGGCACATACAGGTACATGTACCTTGAGCAGTGTTTTAAAAGTTTATACGTGTACTCTTCCTTCGGACTTTTTGTTGTTGCACGAACTATGAAAATTTCTATCATAGCCTGTTCCAATCAATCTTTATAAACATTTTAATTTTTTTCTCATTTTTCAAAACAGCAATACAAATTTTGATTAATTTTTCTACGCATTATTGATGGCTGACAAGCATTATACGAAATGTTATTTTCATGAATCCAAAGTAACGGAATAAATATAATGAACAATAGACTATTCCTAACAAAAAAAACTATAGTTAACTATAGTAAATCGAAGTTTCCAAGTTATCTCTTTAGTAAATCAAAGTTTTCAAAGTTATCACTATAGTGTCAAAGTTATAATCATTATAGTAAATCAAAGTTTTTATAGTTTCAAAGTTATCACTTTAGTAAATCAAATAGTGTCAAAGTTATCACCATAGTAAATCAGAGTTTTTAAAATCACTATAGTAAATCAAAGTTTTCACAGTGAACACTGTAGTAAATCAAAGGTTTCATAGTGATCACTATGATAAATCAAAGTGTCAACGTTTATACTATTTCATATTTAAGTTTCAAAGTCAGCATTATGGTTTATAAAGGTTTTCGACATGAACTCTCTTAAGAAATAAGATATCATAGTAGATTTGATCACGTACCGACTTCATGTCATAACCCAATGAAACTCTAAAAAATGATATTTTATTTCTTATATTTATATTTTACTTTTTTATTCGTGTTACAAAGAAATATAGGCACTATTTAGACTTTGCTATGGAAATCCAATATGTCGTACCTACGACGTCATGTGACGTCACATTCGAAACTTTCCAAATGTCTCGTGCAGTTTGCTTTCCATACGCAACAAAGTCTGATCATGTGACCAACTGCATGTCATTGAAAATTGAATTTCAAGATAAGGAAAGACATTGGCAAATGTAAATTTTAGAAATTGAAAGTTTAAAATTTATTACTACAGTAAATAATTTTTGTGATACATGTAGACGTTAATAGATATAACAACATTGGTTTTCAAAGACTTCTACTGGATAACATTTCTAAAATGAATATTGTTTGGTTTTTATTTCAATTGTCCTTTTTTATGTTAGTAAATAACAATTTAATGCTATCAAGTATATAAACAAGATGTATAGAGTTACCATCTTAAATACAATGATATAAAGTATATTTGATTGATAACTTTAATAAATCAAATGTTTGCTGGAAAATAAGCAACCCTCTGATACCCAAAATGTCGAATTCCACACATTTTTCCCTCAGAGGGCTAATATCCAAGAGTGCGGACAGGAAATAATGATTGTATACAGAAAATGGATTTAATGTTTGAAAAATCTTGTTTGCTGTTTTACACGACTATATTTTAAAGTAGACAGACAATATGCGTAATCAACTCTTCATCAAAGTAATGAAAAGTACAACGTCAAGCTGAAAGTGTGAATCTCTAGGTGACACACACTGGGAAAAAACAATTAAAAGTTCTAAAACTTGGCACAATTGTATGTATAAATGCTTCTTTAAATACTAAAATCCCTATAAACTCAATGAAGAGTCTACATATCTTTCACATTTATGTACAAACATGTCTGTTTTCCATTAAAGGTGGAATGTTTAACAAAATAGAAATTAAATTAATGCTGCGTATACGTATTACAAAGATTTTTATTTTGTTCTGGCACAGCAATGTCCCAATTGCTGGTTTAGGTCAAGAAGACGGGAAAGTTACAAATATGAAATGTAATAGAGCAGCTGAAAAATGAATGTGATTAAAAAGTGCTTATAAGACGAACACGCAATAATTTTGAAATCTTTAGAGATTTTGAGATCTTTAGGACTGTTGTTTCTTTTCGTTAGTTTAGATTGTAGAAAAAAAATATTTTGAAAGTGACCAATATTTGTGGATGTAAGTGAAAAATATGTTGTTCTTAATAGAAATCTGAAAGTAACATGCAGGTCCATCTAAATAATAGGTTGACTTTGTGTTACATTTTCCTGTGTGCTGCATTTTCCTTTGTACTCAATAATGTTACATGTTAGGAAAAAAGGAGTTTATCAAGAATTTTTGTAACTTATCTCCTGGGTTTGATTTTTACCCTTTTGAAATAAGTTATTGTTGATGTGCTATTTTCATACAGTGGGGGAAACAAAAGAAAGTTGAGCACTGCGATTGCGCTAATTGGAGATCCTCCATTTTTGATGTTGGATGAACCCACAACAGGCGTAGATCCAGCGGCACGAAGACAGATGTGGAATGTTCTTTCTAAAGTCCGAGCAAGTGGGAGAACTCTTGTCTTGACATCACACAGGTCAGCGGTTTTGATTTTGACTTTGGCAAATAAGTTTCCTTCATTTTTCAGATAAAATAAAATAAATTTCTGATATTTTAAAAGGACTGGCAATAATATCAAATAATATAAAGTAGATAAGATTTGTAATGTATGTAAAAATTAGAATATTTTGATAAGCATCAAAGTAACTAATTATGTTCAACTAATAAATTTATTTGAAAAGGTTACGTCTTAACTTGCTGCCATAATAACGTTGATTTCATCTCGGGAAGATATGTGAAAAAAATTAAACTATTTCTTTTTTTTGTTTGTCTTTAGTATGGAGGAGTGTGATGCTCTTTGTACTAAGATAGTCATCATGGTAAATGGAAGATTTGTCTGCTTTGGCAGTCCTCAACACTTGAAGAACAAATTTGCACAGGGTTATACCTTGACCGTCAGACTAGCACGTGACAATAACGGAAACGCAGTGGATTCTGGTCCGTTACGTAATCATATAGTCAAAGAGTTTCCAGGAACCGAAGTATTTGATGACCAGCAGGGCTACCTAGATTTTCAGATTCCGCATAGGAATTTATCGCTTGCAAAACTTTTCAAAGAAATGGAGAAAACAAAATCTGAATATAACGTAGAAGATTATTCAGTACATCAGACATCCTTGGAGCAGGTTTTTCTTGGGTTCACGAGGATGCAGGTGCCGCCTGCAGACAAAAAAGGGGCTTGTCCTTGTTGTTTCTGTTGTCGATCAAAACCTGCTTTTCAAGGACAAGTCATCGGTGTTCCAGGTGGACAAATTGTATGAAGGCTTAGTTTAGGAGGTGTATCGTGTGCTGCTTGTATTTTTTCAGGCGGGTTCTCCTTAGTGTTGCCTTAACGGGAAGGAATCTGTGACGGTATGCTGATAAATCATCTTTCGATCACAGATCCTTGCTATTTTTTGCATCATCTTTTTTACTGCAATTTTTAATAATTTTTTTCTTCGCAAGCAATTTAAAAATTGTTGGAATTGCCTTTTTGATCAATCAATGTTAATACAAATACTTTTTATGATGTCAAATGCATAAAAGCTGTTTTTAGCTCTACTGGTCAGAGACCAGAAGAGCTTATGCGATAGTAAGGTGTCCGTCGTCCGTCCGTCTGTCTGTCTGTCTGTCTGTCTGTCCGTCTGTAAACAATTTTTCAAAATGCTACTCCTCCTACAGTTTTGGTCTGATTTCAATATAACTTGGCACACAAGTAGACTAAACTAAGATACATAATTCTGTGTATCGGTTTTTGATATCGATGAACGGTGTTGCCATGGTTACTAAAAATTGAAATTTCTGTGAAATACATTCAAAATGCTACTCCTCCTACAGTTTTGATCTGATTTCAATATAACTTGGCACACAAGTAGACTATACTAAGCTGCATAATTCTGTATATCGGTTTTTGATTTCAATGAACGGTGTTGCCATGGTTACTAAAAATAGAAATTTCTGTGAAATATTTTCAAAATGCTACTCCTCCTACAGTTTTGATCTGATTTCAATATAACTTGGCACACAAGTAGACTATACTAAGATGCATAATTCTGTTTATTGGTTTTTGATTTCGATAAATGGTGTTGCCATGGTTACTAAAAATAGAAATTTCTGTGAAATACTTTCAAAATGCTACTCCTCCTACAGTTTTGATCTGATTTCAATATAACTTGGCACACAAGTAGACTATAATAAGATACATAATTCTGTGTATCGGTTTTTGATTTCAACGAACGGTGTTGCCATGGTTACTAAAAATAGAAATTTCTGTGAAAAACATTCAAAATGCTACTCCTCCTACAGTTTTGATCTGATTTCAATATAACTTGGCACACAAGTAGACTATACTAAAGATGCATAATTCTGTGTATCGGTTTTTGATTTCGATGAATGGTGTTGCCATGGTTACTAAAAATAGAAATTTCTGTGAAATACTTTCAAAATGCTACTCCTCCTACAGTTTTGATCTGATTTCAATATAACTTGGCACACAAGTAGACTATACTAAGATGCATATTTCTATATATCGGTTTTTGATTTCGATGAATGGTGTTGCCATGGTTACTAAAAATATATATTTCTGTGAAATACTTTCAAAATGCTACTCCTCCTACAGTTTTGATCTGATTTCAATATAACTTGGCACACAAGTAGACTATAGTAAGATACATAATTCTGTATATCGGTTTTTGATTTCAATGAACGGTGTTGCCATGGTTACTAAAAATAGAAATTTCTGTGAAATACTTTCAAAATGCTACTCCTCTTGCAGTTTTGATCTGATTTCAGTATAACTTGGCAAACAAGTAGACTACACTAAAATGCATAATTCTTTATATTGATAATTTTTTATATTGATTTTCTGATTTCGATGAACATTGTTGCCATGGTTACTAAAAATAGAAATTTCCTTGAAATACCTTCAAAATGCTACCCCTACAGTTTTGGTCTGATTTTAGTATTACTTAGCACACAAGTAAACTACACTAAGATATATAATTCTCTGTACCACTTTCGGATTTTGATGAACAGTGTTGCCGTGGTTACTAAAAATAGAAGTTTTCTTGAAATACTTTCAAAACGCTACTCCTCCTACACTTTTTGTCTGATTTCAGTATAATATGGCATACAAGTAGACTACAGAGATACATAATTGGTGTTACTGTTTTTTGATTTTGTTGAATGATGTTGCCATAGTTACTTAAATCAAAATTTCTGTAAAATTGTTTTAAAAGGCTACTCCTACTACATTTTTAGTCTGATATAATAATAAATCTTGCCACAAAAAAGATTAAACCAAAGATCATTGTTCTATTTTTTGCTGTTGCAAAGTTTCAAGTCTAAGTGCTACTTTTATCTTCCTTTATAAATACAACCAGTAGAGCTACAGTCTCGTCAGAGACTTCTAGTTTTTCAACTGCCTATTTTAAAAATTTAAATACTTAATGGGTGTTGTATTGCGATAGACTTTTCTGTATTACAAGACAGGGTCTGTTACTTTCAATCGTAAACATTTTTAGCAATGTAAATGTTATACAGTACCAATTTTGATGCACCAGATGCGCATTTCGACAAATTATGTCTCTTCAGAGATGCTCATGCCGAAACGTTGGAAATCCGAAATATTTAAATTAAAAAAAACTGAAGAAGTGAAAAAAGGGGGTGCCAAAGACTGGAGCCAAATACGTCGAAGGATAAGAGCTATGCATGAGGGCGATAATCCTTAATATTGAAATAAATTTCTAAACTTTACCACAGCAATTAAATATATACTAGTATCCATATGTTCAAGCTAGTACCAAAGTACTTAACTACTGGGCTGTAGAAACCCTCGAGGACTAACAGTCCACCAGCAGAAGCCTAACAAATAATAAATGTAGAGAAAATTTGAAAGCCATTGTTTCTGTGTATAGGAAAAGAAGGGAGGGTCAGAAATTAGCGTGAAATTGGCAACATTTAGAAGGGTGAACAATAGTTTTCTCCTGAATTTGATCAATGTTTACCAGAATGTTTATGAACATTTAGAACGCTTGTAATTTGAAATAAATACTTGCAAATGCTGTATATGTTGTTTTTGTTCACCGCAGAAAAGATCCAATTAGCAATTAAATATATACTAGTATCCATATGTTCAAGCTAGTACCAAAGTACTTAACTACTGGGCTGTAGAAACCCTCGAGGACTAACAGTCCACCAGCAGAAGCCTAACAAATAATAAATGTAGAGAAAATTTGAAAGCCATTGTTTCTGTGTATAGGAAAAGAAGGGAGGGTCAGAAATTAGCGTGAAATTTGATCAATGTTTACCAGAATGTTTATGAACATTTAGAACGCTTGTAATTTGAAATAAATACTTGCAAATGCTGTATATGTTGTTTTTGTTCACCGCAGAAAAGATCCAAATGGACTTGTATTTTACAAACACGGAAGTTTTCAGGATCATCTTAAAATGTACATGTCATACAAGAAGAGTGAGTTAAGCTCATATACAGCGACAACATGCAATAACCGTTGATATTTAGAGTGCAAGTGAAAGTACACAATCTTCAGTAAATATGGTGTTATTGAAAGTAATATATTAAAACTCATTTAAAGCGAGGCAGGCTACTCATTGATAAGTTGATGTTACAGGGATTTCAACAACCTCGTTTAAAGTCATCATTTCGTAAATTTTATGGTCCTTATTATGATCTTATTAGCAAATATAACCTATCATTGGGTTGTATTTTATGGCATGTCAAACGTCGCAATATTTGATCTTTTCCATTTGCATTGTAAAATTTTCCATTTGTATTGTATAATTTTTATTTGTATTCTATAATTTTCTATTTGTATTGTATAATTTTCCATTTGTATTGTATAATTTTTATTTGTATTCTATGATTTTCTATTTGTATTGTATAATTTTTCATTTGTATTGTATAATTTTTATTTGTATTGTATAATTTTTATTTGTATTCTATAATTTTCCATTTGTATTCTACAATTTTCCATTTGCATTCTATAATTTTCCATTTGTATTCTATAATTTTCCATTTGCATTGTATAATTTCCTATTTGTATGCGATAATATTTCATTTGTATTGTATCCGCGGATTGTTTATTTGTTTCGTTACGAAGGATTTCATTGGTCAAGTTTTAGCCTGTATCGGGTTGAAAACGATCGAGATGTTCCGGGTGCTCAAAGCAAACCGGGCTCATATGTATTTACCATTGGATTCTAAAAAGGAAGCGCTGGCAGATGGCAAATAAAAAATATGTCCTTAGAAATGTTGACCGAGAAAATATATAAATTTACCTTGAGTGGTGGTACCTACCCCCACCCCTAGGAAACTGAGTTTTCGGGTTTGGGCAGATTTTTTCCTTTTCCTTTTTCTCCTTGTCTCTGGTCATATTGGTAATAAACATTCTCTCCTGCGAGAGAATGAAAATAAATAATCGGATTCGACAAAAGCCCCCCCCCCCCACACCGGAAGAATCAAATGGTCGTCCCTTAGCATGCATGCAAATAGTGGAGCTTAGTTTGTATTTATAGAGAGTGCGCGAACGGAATTGTTGGAATGTGGAAGGGTACCAGACTAAGTTTGTGTTGGGCACTTGAAACATCTCGCTCATTTTGAACACTTTATACAGACTAATGACCAATGAAGTCATTCGTAACGAAATAAATAAACAATCCGCGGATACAATACAAATGAAAAATTATCACATACAAATAAGAAATTATACAATACAAATAAGAAATTACACAATGCAAATGGAAAATATAGAATACAAATAAAAAATTATACAATACAAATGATTTTTTTTACAATACAAATGGAAAATATAGAATACAAATAAATATTATACAATTCAAATGGAAAATTATAGAATCCAAATGGGAAATTATAGAATACAAATAAAGATTATACAATAAAAATGAAAAATTATACAATACAAATGTAAAATTATGCAATACAAATGAAAAATTAAACAATACAAATAAAAATTATACAATGCAAATGGAAAAGATCAAATATTGCAACGTTTGACATGCCATAGTATTTTGACTGTCTTGTTTCAAAACAATTGCTAGGCTTTGTTTCTGTACTGAATTGACTACGGATAGTTCGTCTACCTGATCAATACATAGGGCTCATGGCGGGTGTGACCGATCAATAGCGGATGCTTACTCCTCCTAGGCACCTCTGCAATTTCCAGGGGTCCGTGTTTAATGCCCTCTTCCAATATTTGTATTCTTTGTGCGTTTTTGAGATCGATCACTATTCGTTATCTTTACCTTTTACATTTTTGACACCCCTGATCAGAAAATAAAACAACCAAAAAAAGTGAGTCTTAACATTGATTCATTTTGTCGAATCCTTTAAATTCTGTCATTTTTTTTTTTTACATTTGTCTAAAAATCTGTCATATTAGGTATATTTTATGCACTTAATACCTTAATTTTGCTAAGGAATAGATCTCTCTATTGGAAAACTAGATTAATGAAATCAAATCCTTTAAATGATGCCATTTTTCTGACTATAAAGTCTCGGTTTAAAGGATCACTTCTAGGTATATATATGCGTTGACCTATAAGGCCGATATTGGTTTCATTCTTTAGAAAAAGCTTATCGACATCCGTTCCGGTCGCTGACTTTAGGCCACATGCGTGTAGTTTCTTGTTTCTCATGTATCGTTTTAGTTCTAGCCAACTGTGTGTTCATATGACCCTACATCGGTATTTACATATACATCCTTTGTATGAGGATCCTTACTTGATGCCTGGGTAATGGCAACAGGACATAAAACATTAACTGACCTTACCACGTTCTTTTCTAATATGTAAACCTTCCTCCTGCATTTTTGACATAACATGTCGCCAATGCACTCAATTTTCCCGAGGAATGAACTGCATCTACTCTGCATAGCGCAGTATCTCTCCCACTGGCACAACACTTCTACTAACCAGAGATGTTCTTGAAAGACAAACACAGCAATTTTTGCTCGGCATGATTTTTTTTTTCGGGACACCTGCAGTATCGAGTAACACAAAGTGAATGATTCGTGTCCTCGAACAAAGTGTGCTTACACTGAGGTATACAGTTCCGGTGATTGCGTTTAGTTAAAGAGAATTTATAATCTGCATTTCCATAAATGTCTTTTATATCAACAGCAAACATACATTTAAAGAAGAAAGTGGAAGTAAAATGCAAAAGCCTGTATAAAAAATTTAAGTTCGTGTTTATACAGGTGTAAAATTTGAAAAAAATAAAAATAAAAGTGTGCCAACAGGTGGATTCGAACCAGGACATAAAAAAGGTCCATTGTAAGAATCTGCGGTCTATCTCTCTGTGCTATAATGACTATGAAAATGCACTCCATAAATGTAATCTAGTATGATAGAACTAGGTTTTTCGCATTTTTGTAGGTTTTTCACGAATTTCGACCCTAAGGCAGGGGTGCCCCTAAAAAAATCTCGTTTTAAATCATTCTTTAGATCAAAATCTATCAAAATTTCATAATTTAATTTAGGGGCAGGCCTGCCCTGAAGGACTTCTATGCCAAAATTCACACAAAAATTAGTGCTTTAACGGACAAAATATTGTTTTGACCAACTTTAGAGGTTAATTTCAAAGTTGCAAATAATAAAAATTACGTTTAAAATGCAAATTTGAAAAATTTAGACAAATATACAATAGAAAACAACTAAAGAACATTGATTTTTAAATGTGACTTTTTCCGGAAAATAGTTCTTTCCCAAAGGTCAAATCTTTTGTTATAACGAATACATCCTTTTTGGCTTGTGTTATGTTTTGTGAATAGGTACATGTAGGTAGGTTTTTGAAAGGTGGGTTGACGCTCAAGAGAGAAAAAAAAAACTTTGAATGGCCTAAATATAAAATACTCGTAACTAAGTGTAGTTGTTGGAAACGGAGCTAGTAGAGAGAACAGACATTAGTTTACTACCAAGTTTTACAACATTTGAATAATACAATTATATACATAAAACATGAACAATGTACTTAACTTACACAGCGGAAAATACAAAATATGTTAAATATATACGTTCAACAGATCAAGAATAGTCCTACTATTTCGTTACTTTTGCTAAATTCAAATGTAGCTGAGAAGACACCTACATTAGACCTTGAGTTTTGAGTTGTTGAATAGCATCGGATCGCACGCGCCTTTTGTTGATTTTCCCAACTTCAAACATAGGGAGTTTACAGAATCGGAGAAAGTATGCTGGCATTTCCCCGAGCCCATCTAGGGATTCGTAAACCCCAAAATTTTCTTTGCAATATTGCTTGACATTGGATGGTGAAATGTCATTACCTGGTTCTGTGACGTAGCAGACGCAAATTTCTTCATATAAACGCTTGTCAGGTACCCCCACCACCGCTACACGTTTTATACCATTCATTTGCATAATGATTTCTTCGATCGTGCACGGCATAATTTTTCTCGTACCTCGAGATATGACATCTTTGATCCGCCCCTCTATCACAATATGATTCTCTTCATTTACGTGACCAGTGTCGCCGGAACGGAACCACTTTCCTGACAAGAAAGCTTCACCGTTTAAGTCTTTATTCCTGTAGTATCCATTAAAGAGATATCTGCTTCGAATGCAAAGTTCCCCAGTTTCGCCTTTTCTCAAAACGTTGCCATTTTCATCAACGACTTTGACCTCTGTGCCTGGTATAGGTTTTCCGACATCACCGTAAAGTATTTTACCAACAGAGGTAATCGGAGGAAGAATGGATATCATCGAACATTCTGTTGATCCGTATCCCAAAATAAGTAACTTAGTGAATGCACCAATTACATGAGTGTGGTGATTGTCAATCGGTTGTCCAGTTGTGATGATTGCCTGAAGTTTGAACAAATCTTTATAATTCTCTTTCTGGGCGACGAGATCTGCAAGGAAGTAAGGCATTAAAAGTGCTGAGGTACATTTCTCTTCCTTGATTATTTCCCATATCTTCATGGCACTGCTTCCTTCAATGGCTATCGAAGAATCACAAAATACTCTAGTTTCCCCCTTACATACAGCTAAGATTGGAGAACCTGCTCCCCACGCAAACGGTCGATCGTTGTATGTTTTCCCTGCCAGGATAATATCCTTGGGTCTTTCAGGTCCTAATTCAACGTTGTTAACATCAAAATGCGTGTGGGACACCATTTTAGGTTTTCCAGTGCTTCCAGATGTTGTAAATATCATAATTTCATCCTCGGGGAAAAGTGAGGGAAATTCAACTTGTTCTTCTTTCATCTGTAGTACCCCAGGGAGGTCTTCGTAGGATGCCAAATGTTCACTCTTTCTTAGGAATACTAGAGTTGGATCGTTTGAATCTATGTCCTTGTAATCTCTTGAAGGACGTCGTCGACGAAATAGTGCAATCAGCTGAAAAATCATATCCAAATATTTTTCACCTTTTCCAGGATCAATCAGGAAAGCTTTGCATTCTGCAATTGAAAATATTTCCCATAAGTCTCTGACGTCAGTGATGCTGAGTGTCACGTGAACAACAACACCGCCTGCCATGATGATGGCTAATTCAGCGACCACCCATTCAAGTGTGTTTGGCCCAAAGAGGGCAATTTTATCCCCCTTTTTGGTTCCCTTGGTCACTAGGTAACGGGCAAACTTTGTTGCCTCCGTTTGTAGTTGGCGGTAAGTCAGAATTTCCCTGGTCCCATCTATTCCTCGGTATATCAGAATTTCTTTGTCCGGATATGCCTTTGATGTCTCATTGAACACGTCAATGACAGTTCTATAAATATATGGGGTAGTCCTTGGAGCAGACAGATAGCTGAATTCAGTCATTACGAATACTTTAGTTCTGAAAAAGAGATTAACTAGCACGGGAATATGAAAGGTACATGTACATTCAGATTGGATATACTAGCGTATCATCATAAGGATAATTCTGATGTCTTCCGGAAGTAACCTACTAGATATAATGATACATGTAGCCGCTGAACGCAGATAAGTGAGAAACATTATATACTGTAAAAGTGGCAGCTTTAACAATGCTCAACCGAATCTTGGTTGTGGTCTAGAACCTTTGCAGATTTTTTTTCTTTTTCATTTTCATTGTTTTTACGAAAATTGTTTCAAGTCTCTGTAGTCATAAAGCAAAAGCTAGTCTTAGCACGTGATCCATAACACGTGATGGATCTGAACTGTTATTAAAATGACAAAATTCTTTGATAGAATATGATTTTTTAGGTGATGGCGGAAGGTCCAAATTTCGAAGAAATCTTGACGTAAAGATTTTTCTTTGATATTTTCAACGTTTAACAACACCATGAAAGAATGCGAATAAATACATCATCTTAAGTAGATGAACAGGGAATTTTTTTCAGTGAAATTTATTGATTTAAAGAACGTGACACTTAATTTCAATTTGACGACTTATATTCCTATAATGATTTTTTCAAGGAAAATGTACTTCTTAATACTGTGATGTTTACTGCACGTTTTAATCCATCCTTTAACAAAAATTAAATAGATTTATAAGCAAAATAAGGAATTGATAGAAATAAAGAAATGACCATACCGTTTTATATTCAGTCGTCCTTATTTGTGGAAGTGACTCAAAGAGGCCTGGATTTTATGCTCTAAATCAGCTAAATTTCACATTAACTTTAAAGGTCGCGGAAATTATCAACTGTGTTAAAGGCCATGTATCTACTGAGGCTACTAGCCTGAACCTTCAGCAAACAATTACACATTATCAATATGTGTTCCTTTTACAATGATAATGGATTCAGACAGTGAATATTGGGAGTCGATTCAAAGATACTAGTAATAGATATGAATATCAAAAGATACAAAATACATAAATTGCGTTGATTCTATTCTTTTAATGCCCAAAGATAAATTTAAAGAATTATTCTGTTCAAACTAACTATATTTTTAAAAAAAACTATTCTTACCTCTTTCTTCTCCAATTGAAAAAAAAAAAAAAAAAATTGCCTCAAACGTTCTTGACTTTTGTTTGAACTTTTGTCTGAACTTTTAGGTATGCAGTAGACTGTCACCCGGGTTATCTTAACGTATATTCACCTTTTAACTAGCCATTGGTACTCCGATTCATGTGATAATAAAACATGAATATAAAAAGAAAACAATATGGATTAAAATAGAAGAATTCATGATTAAGAAAAGAACATATAACAGTTGCAAACATACACTTGACCAAGTTATTATTAAAAAAAATACATTTCCGATTAAATTTAAAGTAGATATATCTTCAGAACCAAAAAGTACAAAAAATTTTGTTCAAATAATGTACTTTTTCTTTTAAAAAATAAAAAAAACAGTTTTTTCTGTTATTAAAAATTTATTAATTAATAATGGATCTGCTTTCCTATAACACAAAATTTGCATTTATTGCTGATTCGTTCATTTTTAAGAATACTAGAATATTTACCACCTTAGTCATCTATTTGAGCTAAAATATTTATCGCTTTTTAGACACACTAAAATACTTTGTTTCTGATAAATAAGGTAGAGAAAAATCGATGTGTAATTTATCTTGCCATAATAACACTATCCGAATGCAGAATGAAAGGCATCTTGATCTCGCTGCACTGAGATGAAGTCACTGACTATTGCCTCACTGAGGCGTGGATCAAGCTATTCAGTCATTCTACAAAAAGATGACCAATAAAGAATTTTTTATGTCGCTTACAAATTTACCCTTGTAATACCTAAACTATAAATTTGAAGGTCGATTTCAACTCTAAGACTTAACATACATGGTTTTGTTAATATTCACCGATATATAATCAGTTAAAGTTTTAATATGAACATAACGTAATGTTGAAAAACGTTTTCCACCGCAAATCTTAATGTCGCTTCATTTATTTACAAATTTCAAGATTAAATTTTCAGTCGTAAAATCGTTCCGAATAGATTGCAATGAATGTTAAAAATGTCTTTTATCCTATATAAAATGAAATCAACCCACTTCTCGCAAAGAAATGCATGGATCTCCTTTCATGCGAAATAATAAGCATGTCGCTTAAAATCGATAAACTTCCGTAACGATTTTGTTTTAAATTTCACGCATAGAATGCAGATTTCAAAAAGAACTGAAACTTATCTGAAAGTGATAACGGAACCTTAAATCATCGATTCTAGTTGCGAGTCAGCAATTTTAGACGATTACATTTTCGACATAACAAAATGAATAAGACAAAAATAGTTGTCTCTCTTAAAAATTTAACTTCCGTAACGGTAATTCAGGAAAGTTTTTGCATTAAAGGTATAAAAAATTTTATTATTTTGGGTGCGAAATGCTTCATACTTTTGTTTAATATCCTAAGACAAACTTTGATTTTAACTATTGAAGAGGATTTTAGCTTTTATTGCTGGGAATTAACTTCTGTAACGATTAACTTCCGTAACGATATTTTTCCCGAAAATTTAATTTAAATTCGGATTCATGCGAGACTTCATTAATCATACTTTAGCGTTCTTTACTGAACATCAGACACAAAAAATTGGTCAAATTCAGCTTTGTTAAAAAAAATAATAAGGCTTGTTCAAGCATTAACTTCCGAAACATAACCTTAAAATCAATGGTATCTTGAAATTGTTGTAAAAAGTTAAAGATACCAGATATGTGGACAATTCTTTGTTTTCGAGTTCACTGATATGTCCTTCATATAATTATGTTCATTTTGCTATTTGAAACAATTATTTTTTTTCATGTTTTACACTCTGAATTGGTCCATTTATCGTAGAATGACTGTTTTATCATAATATCTTGTTAATATGAAAATTAAAATGAATCAAGCGTGATCTGGCCAAAATAGAGACGTATTTTTCAATGTAGTAATCAATATTTTTATAGTCCAATTCAAATCAATATTTTTATAGTCCAATTCAATTGAAAATGTATAGACCTTATACAAAGCCGTAGGAAGGCACACTTGTATAGTAACGTACTAGAATGGCAGTCACAGCCCCTAGAAAATGTCAAAAGTTCAACGAAATCCGGCCCCACGACCATAAACTGAGAACAGACTTAAGTCAGAATTTTAAACCAATATAACTTTTGAAATAATTTTGATAATGAAACAAAATTTTTATCATATATTTGAATTTAAATATTATGTAAAATTACAAATTTTTAAGCAAATACATTAAATAAAACTCAAGATATTAAAAATCAAAATTTTGACTTAAGTCTATTCTCAGTTTATGGTCTTGGGGCCTGATCTTATATAAATTATGGGTTTTAAACACGTGTAGCTATTATCCCTGCAATTTTGAAAACTGCTGGGAGCTGTTTCTGTGGTATTGGTTTATTCAGTAACAGTATTTCCATATAGGACGTAATCGAAAGACGTCTAAATTTTACATAATTCCTGAGCAAAAGGAAGTTGCTCCCAGCACTTTTCAGGTTAAGGAATTTGTCTCAAAGAAAACACAATCAATTTCATAGCGAAATGATATCCGTATATTGATGAACTTTTACGGTCTATGTAGCCGTTATCAGTTTTTTTTTCTAGTTTTAAGCTTGTCGTGACAAACAGCTGATATAAGTGACGTCGCTGTGGTCGCACTAGATACATACATGTGTATGTATATACCCAATACATACATATGTATATAGGAGAATTCCCATTCATCAAAACTTATTATCAACAGTTTTCATTTTTCAAGGCGCATTTCCTATGTTTGTCCTTAATCTAGCTGCGGATCGAACCTAAATTGCGTATTTATGTCTAAAAATTAGCGTAAAACATCTGATTTTTAAATGTTTACATAATCTACTTTTTTTAACTTGTTGACATTTGATAATTACGAGCAGAATTGACACATATAGGAAATAAAAAGTGTGTTGATACTGTATGATCTATGTCACTCACAACACATCAGTGATTTAAAGGAATTCAAAGAAAGTTTATTGGTCTGTGTGTTACAGATGGTCTCTAAAGTTTTTATCCTAAAGTACTTAACGCAAATTACAAACTCAAACCATCGTCTTAAAAATGGGTAAGTGGATTGAAATATAAAACTAAAAGAAATCAATCCTTAAACCCTGGATTTTGATTGTCTGAATAATAAGAAAAAAGATTCATTTATGCATTTTAAACCACCATCTTTTGTAAGCTACTGTAAGTACATGTATGAAATGATCGATTTCTGTTTTTGACTTAAAACACATAGTAGCATCTCAATCAATATGCCGAAATATAAACTAATCTATTTTGACAGCAAAGGTCGTGGACAGGCAATTCGTTTATTGTTCCACCTAGCTCGTGTGGAATTTCAGGACATTAGAATAAGCCACGAGACATGGGAAACAATTAAACAAAGTAAGTATTTGTTTAGTTTATGAAATATTAACTGTATTCCAAATTGCCACCATTCAAATCATTATTTGTCGAGGATGCGCCTAATATTCTCCTACCAGTTTGGTACAACAGATACATGTGCAGGTACTTCCTGAAACTTTATTTTCAATCTTTTTTTTTTACTTTAAAGTTTCGAATTCAATCATATCAAGACCCAAGTTCAATTTTAGAAAATGAAAAATAAGAATTACCTGATAAAATTTCTAAATCTCTGTTACGATAACCATGACGGGTAGAGTCTATTAATTTTAAAGGATACATTTTTGGCGGTTGCTTTCCCATTTATTTGGAATGCATTGTCATTGTGTACATGCATATCAAAATAATTAAATTTCGTGAATTTTATTTGATGAATCTGTATCACCAATATAGGCCACAATTATATCCCTTAAAACACACACACACATACACAGATGTCGCCGTTCACAGTTTTATTGTTGAATCCTGTAGGTTCAAACAGCTGTATAAAAAAAATAAGACTGAATTTTATTTTTCTAGATTGGCAGCTAATACAAATAAGATGTAGTATCATGTCTTTATTTCCTTCTCGACAGCAATGCCTCAGAGGAGATTGCCTGTTCTGGAGGTTGAGGGAATGATCATTCCACAAAGTGGTGCAATTTTACGATACCTGGGCAGGGAGTACGGTAAATTCTTTAAAATCATGAAGTATGCTAGTAATTCATATATAAGGCACGTATAAAGCTTTTGGTATATGCAGGACAAGAACACAAAGTTAACTTGTGATAACACTAACTGGTTATGTAAATTTTAAAACTTTTTCTGCCAATATATGAAAAAACATATATCAAAAATCCTATCTCGAGTGATGGATGAAAGAAATCTGCTTTCAGATGTTCAGCTTTGACTGTTGTCGTTAGGGGGGGAGATAGATTGCTAAGTTGGTATGTGTATATTAATTGACTAGTTTATTCCTTGGAAGGATTGTACGGCAAAACAAACAAGGAAAGTACAAGAATCGACGTCATATCCGGTGCTGTTGAGGACATGGTGTATATCCTTGAGCGCTTGTTTTACGTTGAGCGAGTTGAGGAGGCAAGGATCATACTCAGACAGGAAATTCTCTCATGGCGACTTCCGGAATTCTTAGACATCATGGAAAGTGCACTCAAAGAAAATAAGGCCGGCGACAGTTTCTTTGTTGGAGATCAGGTATTCATACAATTACTTATAGGTAGTTAGCTGATTGATAAATTATATTTCAACGTAGTTATTTCGATAAGTCAACTGAATAAGAGTAAGCTGAATTTGCGTTTTAAAGTATCTCAATATCTAGACCTAATTAATATGTTTTACGGTGTGACCGTTGGGGTGAGCGCAGTTGTACCATCAAAAACCTATACAAAGCTTACACTTCTAACGTTGATGGATCCGCCTCTTCAAACGTCAAACCGCAGAGACACAGTCAAGACTATGACGTCACATGACGTCGGAATTTACGGAGACAGCCGAGTGTCTGGTTGAACGAGACTGAAGATCTTGTGCAATAATAAATGAAATACGTTGTAGAGTGGATGTAATTATTTTTTATTTCTTTTAAGCCCTCTGTAAAGAAAGAAAAGTAAACGTATCTCTCGGTAATGAATAATTATCCTTGGTCTTTTGAATGTTTTGTAAGAATTTCGCATGGAACCCTGGTAGCGAAGGAATTCTGGGAATGTTGCACCAGAAAATTTGCCTGACGTATGTACAGATTTCATTCCGAATTTTCTCTGTTCTTACACGTTAGTCTATTGAGCTCGCTGCGCTCGCTATAATCGATTGAATTTATAAGAATTTTGTAGAAGTTGTAATTATAAATATGATTGAACACTTAAAATAATAGTCAGAGCATAGGTGTTAGGAAATTTACACTTGAAGAAAGTTTTGTTCAAACTAAAAGGATAAGGTGCTCAGAAAAAGTTTAATCAACCTTTTGTTTTTGGAAAATGGACAAAAATTAATTCTAGGATAGATATATATTTGCCTGTCTGCCACAAGCCAGTTATCCCGGTGGTAACTTTTCTCATTATAGCTCTTGCTTGAAACTTAAAAGATAAACGAGAAATTTTCTTTAAATTTATATAATGGCAGTATGTTATGAACATTAAAAATATATTTCAGTTTAAAACACATTGATTCGGAAATCTTCATAACAAGCAAACAATGTCTGATACATCAGGAAGCATCTGACTGTGTGTCTGTCAATTTCAGTTGATATACCTAAAGAAATTCAGTATATTTGGTTTACAGCAACTGATACAACTTAGTATGTACTGATTTCAATGAAAAGACAGGGATACCTATAGAATCTTTTTTAAGAGATCACTGAGCATTTTCTTGTAATAAATGACTTGCTACTTTGACTAAAAGCGTACATGTAATTTTAAAATAATAATAATAATAATTTTATGCAAATTAAGATTTTTAAAGTTGATATAGAATTTATTAGCTTAGGTTAGGCAATATCAGTTGTATTAGCATTACAGTTCTCGCAGATAAACATCAATGGCGGATGGATTGACCATCATTAATACATAATGGCATATGTATTTTTTATGGTATAGGTATCAATAGCAGATGTCCATCTGTTTAGTATTATAGACTGGATGCAAGATCTGTTTCCCGAACATCCATTTACCTTACCATCGAAAATAAATGCATTTATGGAAAGATTTAGAGCTATTCCAAATATTGAGAACTTTCTAACAAAACCATAATTAAAAAGACGTTAACCATCAAAGTATTCTTGTAACACTGCCAGCTTTTTCATCAGACATCACCACAAATCGCTAATTGCAATCAACCAACATGGACACTACAGCCTTCAACTCAGACATCACCGATCTCTTCGAAATTCACTTATCTTCAGTGGTACTTTGTAACACTACTCTCCCACCATAAATTTCAACGCAACTCACCCATCACCAACGTGACTTCGACACCTCCAGTGTTCATACTGTATTACCATCGCTCACAACAAAATCTAAACTCAATTTATTAATCTCAACACAATTTTACAATTGTATACAGAGAATAACGAAAACAATGGTGACAAATTAAAACAGATTTTATAGCGTGATTGATTATGTATTCATTAGATCGGGGAACATGTTTTAGTAATATTCCTAATAAATGTACACTGTTTTCTTAAAAAGAATTGTTATTTTTTTTAATTCATAACTTCTCTACATATATATGATTACTATAATTTACTACAGTATCAAAGTTCTAACTATTGTAAATTAAAGTATTTTTACTATGAATTTTCGATTGTTATATATAATTTTCTCGAAGTCTAACTTGCAAGTTTTTTGTATAATATTAAAGGAAACATTACCAGTATTTTAAGAGTCATGTTATTGCTAAAATTTATAACATTGGCGGATAATTAAGAAATGCTAAGGACCGAAGTCTAAAAATTTTCTAGAGTAAAGTTCCAAAGTAAATCAAAGAATCAAAGTAAATTTTGGTTAGAGTATTTATTTAAGCAATTAGTATATTCATTTATAATACCAATGCGTTTTCATACTAACAGTTAGACCATTATTTACACACTGAATTGTAAACGGATTTTTTCGTTAATTCCCGATCATGACAAGGAGAACACGGCGGATGTGACTTGTCGGCAGGGGATGTTCACTCCTCCATGGCACCTAATCCCACCTCTGATGTTTCTGGAAGTCCGTGTTTGCTCTGCTCCCGATGTGTATTGTTTTAATGGACTCTGAGCTTGAATACTGGTCGTTATATCTTCATATTACATCAATCAATTTGAAGAGTACATTCAGTATCTTTGTTTCTTATTCCAGTTTACAACAATCAGAAATAAAACGAGTTTGTATTAATAGACATAGGATGTCGGCCAACTTCATAATAGCGTATATGTGGAAATTTTAACGAGATGCAAATTTAGCGATTTGTCTTTAAAAATTGGTATTTTATTTTTAGCGAGAAGTAATTTTAGCGATTTTAAAATGCTCACTAAAGAAGCTATTACAAATAAAACGCAATTAATTGTTAGCTATATTCAATTTTAGCAATCTCAGCACCCTTGCTAATAATGCCAAAATTAGATTCTCGCTATAAATTCTGCTTATACGGTATACACCATACTGTCGGTAGTAGATTGTTTAAGGTTCAGGTATAATTCGGAAAATTTGAAATACACTCCTTGTACATTGGCAGTGTTCGAAAATCCCCATACCTCATATCCATAACAATATAGACTGAGCAATTCTATCAAATAAATCTAACTGAAAACGTATTAATAGGTTATATAAACAAGCTTGTTTTCCTAAAGATTTGTAAATATTGCTTTATTAGCTTTATTTCCTTTTTTTTTTTTTTTTGTTTTACTTTTATGAATGGTCCAGATACCCTATATAAACACCTTAGTATTTTATTTCACTAACAACAGTCAGATCCAAAGAAAGCTTTGAGGATTTTTTTTCTTTTTTAATTTTTCACTACATACTGTGTGATTTTTTTTCTCAATAGAGAATAAATCCCTCGAAATAGTTTATGAAATAAGTAATAAGATATTAATGTGAAAATGGGGAAAGTTCAATAACAGCAAAAACTGGCAATACTTGTAAATAATATAAGTTTGTAGCATATTTTTTATCAAAACTTTTTTAGTATTAGGAGGAGGGGGTGTCCTCTCCAAAGTCACCACTGCCGCTTGAAAAGTGGAAAACAAAATACTTAAATGTGCAGAATTTCTTAAACTCAATTTACTTTTTAATGAGATCTCGTGTTCTTCATTTGCATGTACTTGTAAAAGTGCTACATTAACTATAGTGTAGTTTCTTACTTTCGAGAAATACTGTAAGTTTTACAAAATATATAATATACTTTAATCATTTGTACGCAATTAAAAAAATATTATGAATTAAAAAGGTTATTCTATAGCCAATGAAAATAAGCCATATAGAAAAACTCGTATTTGTCTCACCTCACTGTTCTGAATATACTAAATGAACAGAAAGAAAAACGCTTAGCAAAGTAATTCATAGATGTCGCTCTGCTCTGTACAACCAAAAATTAGCAATTTCTATTTACACAGGGATATAAAGATCTTTATATATAAAAAGAAAAACTATGATCTTTGTACCACCCTGTAGCAAAGGTTAAACACACAGAACAGAGAATTTAAATAGAGCAAAAATAAATTGACCAGGTAAGTGTGTAACGCTCAAGATGCCGACCTATAAACTGATGTACTTTGAAGGCAAAGGGCGTGCCGAGGTGATTAGACTAGCCCTAACAGCAGCAGGACAGGAGTTCGAGGACAAGAGGTTTACAAGAGAAGAATGGCTGGAAGTCAAACCAAGTAAGTACTATTGACACTGCTAAGTGTTGTATTTCTTGTAATAAACTTGAAAGCGTTAAATGCTTGTCCAATGCTTAAAAGTATCAGTTCTATATATAGAGGTTGTTTGTAAAGTATTTTAGGGCTTTAATTTAACAAATAAACATGATATTCAATAAAAATCTTCTTCTATTGCCATTTTTGTAGCCTTATGTCGGACGTCGGTTTGTTATCATGAAATATTATTGCACAATTAAGACGCAATAAAAATTTAAGGGTTTTCGTACCCTTAACTTCAAAGTTAAATCAGATACATTCATGTACCTACATGTTATTATACAGGGCTAATTAAAGTTTGTTGTTTCTTTTTTTTTTTAGATACGCTCTTCCTAATATTTTGGCCTTTTTGTGATAAATTAGTTTTCTAAAATACATTTACAATATATATTCCATTCGAAAATTCTTAAAAAATTCCCACCCATCCTGTCACGTAAATCGCTACTCAAGTACATTAATCCCGTGAGGGGATAAGAAGATAAAATTTTAATCAGATTGTGTAGATAAACTCCGCATGACACTAAATATTATTTTCATATACACTTCATATTTTAAATTTTATGTTGTGATAATAAATTATTACTCTTCCTCTTCTCTGTGTTATAATTTCTTCATATTACGATCTGACATAAAAAAAAATCATTTCTGAAAAAAGTAAGCATCGCTTCATACTGCATACTGTTTTTTAGCTCAACTGAGCCGAACGCTCAACTGAGCTTTTCTGATCACATTTTGTCTGTAGTCCGTCTGTCCCTCTGTCCGTCTGTCCGTCCGTCTGTCTGTAAACTTTTCACATTTTCGACTTCTTCTCAAGAACCACTGGGCCAATTTCAACCAAACTTGCCACAAAGTATCCTTGGGTGAAGGGGATTCAAGTTTGTTCAAATGAAGGGCCACGCCCTCTTTCAAGGGGAGATAATAAAGAATTAGTGAAAAATTAATAGCATCTTTTAAAAATCTTCTTCTCAAGAACCACAAAGCCAGGGAAGATGAAACTCATGTGGAAGCATCCTCAGGTAGTGTAGATTTAAGTTTGTTCAAATCATGACCCCCGGGGGTAGGGCGGGGCCACAATGGAGGATCAAAGTTTTACATAGAAATATATGGGAAAAACCTTTAAAAATCTTCTTCTCAAGAACAGCAAAGCCATGATGAGTCATATTTATATGGAAGCATCCTCAGGTAGTGTAGATTCAAGTTTGTTCAAATCATGACCCCCGGGGGTAGGGCGGGGCCACAATGGAGGATCAAAGTTTTACATAGAAATATATGGGGAAAACCTTTAAAAATCTTCTTCTCAAGAACAGCAAAGCCATGATGAGTCATATTTATATGGAAGCATCCTCAGGTAGTGTAGATTCAAGTTTGTTCAAATCATGACCCCCGGGGGTAGGGCGGGGCCACAATGGAGGATCAAAGTTTTACATAGAAATATATGGGGATAACCTTTAAAAATCTTCTCCTCAAGAACAGCAAAGCCATGATGAGTCATATTTATATGGAAGCATCCTCAGGTAGTGTAGATTCAAGTTTGTTCAAATCATGACCCCTGAGGGTAGGGCGGGGCCCCAAAGGAGGATCAAAGTTTTACATAGAAATATATGGGAAAAACCTTTAAAAATCTTCTTCTCAAGAACAGCAAAGCCATGATGAGTCATATTTATATGGAAGCATCCTCAGGTAGTGTAGATTCAAGTTTGTTCAAATCATGACCCCTGAGGGTAGGGCGGGGCCCCAAAGGAGGATCAAAGTTTTACATAGAAATATATGGGAAAAACCTTTAAAAATCTTCTTCTCAAGAACAGCAAAGCCATGATTGATCATATTGATATGGAAGCATCCTAAGGTAGTATAGATTTAAGTATGTCCAAATCATGACCCCTGGGGGTAGGATGGGGCCCCAAAGGAGGATAAAAGTTTTACATAGAGATATATAGGAAAAATCTTTAAAAATCTTCTTCTCAAGAACAGCAAAGCCCTGATTGATCATATTTATGTGGAAGTATACTCAGGTAGTGTAGATTCAAGTTTGTTCAAATGTTGCCCCCCTGGGGTTGGGTGGGGCCACAATGGAGGATCAAAGTCTGAAATAGAAATATATAGGAAGATTTCTTCTGATGAAGAACTGCAAAGCCATGATTAGTCATTTTGATATGGAAGCATCATCAGGTAGTGTAAATTCAATTTTGTTCAAATGATGACCCCCGAGGGTAGGGTGGGGCCCAATAGGGGGATAGAAAGTTTTACATAAGAACACATAGAAAAAATATTTCTTCTCAAGAACAGAAAAGCTATGTTAATCATATTGATATGGAGGCATCTTCAGGTAGTGTAGATTCAAGTTTGTTCAAATGATGACCCCCGAGAGTAGGACGGGGCCACAATGGAGGATCGAATGTTACATAAGAACATATAGAAAAAATATTTCTTCTCAAGAACAGAAAAGCTATGTTTAGTCATATTGATATGGAAGCATCCTCAGGTAGTGTAGATTCCAGTTTGTTAAAATGATGACCCCTGGGATAGGGAGGAGCCACAAGGGGGGATCAAAATTTTTACAAAGGAATATATCAGAAAATTTTTTTAAAATCTTCTCAAGTACAACAAAGCCATTTGTTATTTTGACATGGAAGCATCATCAGGTAGTTTAAAATTCAAGCCCCCCCCCCCCCCCGGAATCTTTTCAATACTGAACTGATTTGTGCTTTTGCCTATCCACTGTGCTCAGGTGAGCGATGTGGTTCATGGGCCTCTTGTTATTTGAATTTAATGTTATAGCTCTTGATGAAAATCAGTGTTGGGAAGTTCGTGAAATTAAGAGCAGAGGGTTATTAGTCCTTGAGGACTTTTCAAGCTTCTTCACGTTGTAAATATGTATTTAAAAACTAATTGCTGGGGGATGGGTGTCCTGTCCATTACAATTTGTGAAAAAAAAACTGTGTATTTTTTGTTGATAAATAATGTTCAATAACAACATACCACACCAGTTATTTGCTAAATTGAGATTTAAAATCAATTTACGGAGACTATCTTAAGTATTTTAAACATGACATATGAAACTTATGTCTACTTAACTCGTCCTGAGGATATTTCCTAAAAAGAAATAGAATCAAAAAGTGTATGTTTTTGTAAAAAATATATAGTAAAGACATCGTTTATTTATTTAAAGTGTACGTCCTCTTTTTTATTTGGCGCATTACCATGTCTTCTTAGTGGTCAAATTAATATGGAATCATAAATCAACATGAGGAATGAGTACCGTAACATAGCCGAAAAAAGGAAGTTGAAATAAGCGTGCTTATTGGTATACGATAAACAAAGCAGTACATTGTATTAATTTCAGATATTCGCCAAACTATTTACTTTCGCTATATTAAGAAATGTGCTTATATCTTTTTTCATCTTTAAAATTAGCTATCCCTCAAAAGCAGTTACCATGCCTGGAGGTGGATGGCCAATTCATCTCCCAATCTGGTGCTATCTTGAGATATGTGGGAAGGGCGTTTGGTACGTATTTTTTTTCAGTTAATGATACTGCTTACTAAAAAAGAATCCATCATCTGTTAAATTTTAAAACACCTAAATACATGCTGCAGGTCAGTTAGATCTAATTTGAAAGAAATATCTGGTGTGTCTCGTTTGTTAGGTGTTTGAGAACTCACATAAACCACACAGATCTAGAGTAAATAAAAAAAATGTCTAAAAACACACATTTTTAACAACATTATGATACCTATAATTAGAATCACAAAATACATTTTGAAGTACAGTTTCTATGTTTCATAGACAAATTATACTTCAAAAATCAATGTCGAAAGACAAAGTTCTGAGAATTTCATAAAGTTCTGTGTCATCATTAAGACACTGCCAAAACTAACTCAGTAGAGATTGTGTCGCAATAGGTACAGCATTAAAACACGTCAAACTGATTCGGAAGCCTAGTGTACAGTTTTGCATTTACTTTAGGTTTATATGGAGACAATAATGACGAAAACACTCGTATTGACGTCATTCTTGGGGCTACAGAGGACTTCCTAAAACATGTAATTGCCGTGTATTACGAGAAAGACGAAACAAAGAAAGCAGAATTGAAGAAAGATTTAGAAGAAAACAAATTGCCACAGTTCTTCGATTTATTGGAGGAAATCTTAACAGAAAACAATGAAGGAAATGGGTTCTTGGTAGGAAATAAAGTGAGTTTCCGGTAGAGTAAGATTTTTTTCTTGTATTTTGGATATTTTAAAATTTATAAAAGTCTAGGAAACGTTTTTGTATTGATTGATGCTAGAAAAAAAAAGTGTCTCCGTCCACCTTGAAAGCTTTGTATTATTATTTGACGGATCTGTAAACGGAGCTCCGCATTCTTACGTTGTTAAAGTAAATTCTTGTACAGTCTATAACAATATAAATTCTTCATTTAATATTCGAAATCCATTACTATTTACTACCTTTTAAGAAGAGTCTTACTTGAGTTAATTCTTAAGGAAAATTTTTCAAACTTGACTTACTTTGAACATATATATCTGTTGGAGAAAAAACAAACATTGTCATCGTTTTATTTTTTCAGCAGCGCCACTTAAAGTTTAGGGTATTGATCAACCCTGCTGTGGCAAAATCAGCTTCAGATAAATAATATTCATCTATATTTGAAACAAAGAACACAACCATAATGAAAGAATATCGCATTAATAATTTAACTTAAAAGATACATTAATATAAATGATCAATTTTAAATATATTTGTTTATTTTTTCATAAATTATCAAGTCTTGCTTAAGAATTTCGCCGAAGAAGACAATGAAACTTTTTTTGTAAACATTGAAAATTCATTATTGAAGATACATTCGTATCTGCACAGTTAATATTCTTAGTCACATAGCCATTTTCTCATCCATATTTTAAAAGCAGCATTTCTCAATCAATTTGGGTGGAAGAAAGTATTGAAATCTTTAAAACAGTTGGGAATATATATATAATTTTGGAGAAAGTAAACTGCGAAAGGTAGTAGCAAATCGGGTATACAATATGACTTCAAACGAGTATGACTTCACCATAAAATGCCGTAAAAATAGCTTTAGTTCCATATCACTGATCAGGTTTACCTTAGAAATGATTTATATTTTGAAAGGTTTCTTAGCTGTCATCATTTTTTCCCTTTTATTTATCAATTTATTTATTCATTTATAAATAACGTTTACAAGCCCTTCCTTTTCGGAGAATTTACTTTACATTGTCTACATATCATTTGAATGCATGGTTTTCTCTTATGATAATTTTAATTTTTTTAATGTCATTGACTGACCTCTCTTTACCAGCATCTAAGATAAAGTGAAATTTTATTTGAAACTTTTTTTTCAAGTATCTCTTTTTCATTTTTATTTCATTGATTGATCTTTCTTTTATTGATGATTTGATTTTAATTAGATTTCATTCCAGATCATCTGTCTGTATGAATCTATATCAAATAATGAGTTTATTTTCTGATCCTTTTTGTCAAATATATTATTTTATGTAATTGAAAGAAAACTCATTATCCATCATTAAATATTCTAAAGATTTGATTTTATTTGTGTCCGTCAATATTTTTTATATTATTTAGATGTCGATTGCCGACCTTATGATCTTCGACACAATTGATCAAGTCGCTGGTTATGTTTCACCTCCACCATTCCCACCTAAGCTTGGGGCTTTGATTGAGAGAGTGAAAGACAATCCAAAAATAAAGGAGTATATATCAAAACAAGCCTGAAATTGAATATACATTTCAAAGACAGTTTATTGATCACAGTAAACGGTGCCACCGGTCATAAGGTTGCTGTTCAATGTACGTTCGAATACGATATTTCAAGTCAGGTTATGCTATGAACATTACTAAGTATTCTGAAATATATAACTAGCTTTGATATCTAAGTTTGAAATGTATTAACCTTATGCTATCTAGTGTGTCACTTACTAAAGACATATTTTTGTAATATTTATCTTATGAACACAATATAAACGTATTGATATTTTTTGTAATATACATTTGTATTTGTATTGTACAAGAGAAAAGATGTGACCAAAAGGAGATGATAGATCAGGAAACATGGACTTTCTGTGTATCGTTCTGTCAAGTTATATGCCTAAAGAAATACTTTACGTTAAGTTTACAGTTACACCTTTTTATCGAATGATTTTATTTCATTCCATTTTTTAAACAGAGCGACTGTAACTTAAAATTATCGATGTTGGGATTTTTTTTAAACATCTGTATGTAATAATTGGTCTATTGATGAAAAAAAATTGATATAATAAAGTATGTTTTGGGGTTTTTTTTAACTTTAGATAAGCATCAATTGAACGATCATTCGAGTATCAATATTATAATACCCGGTTGATTAAGTTACCATCCTTAATAATATTTCGGTTTTTGATGAGATACAGGTATTAAGGAAGGGTTATTGAGATACACAAATAGTTCGTTTTGTTGTTTGTTTTAAAGTCCCTTCGAGAATTTGTCACTCATAATGAGACACCACCACTTGTCGGTGGGGGGACTGTATTGGCACTTACGGCCTTTGAGCAGTGAGGGGTCCTATTCGTGCAAGCAACTCCTGCGACACGGGACTCGGTTTATAGGGTCTCATCCGAAAGAATAGTCTCCATATCCCGCAGTGGGATTTGAACCTGCGAGAAAAGTATCAACTCCTTACTCCGCGACTCTAGAGGAAACGCTCTAACAACAGCGCCACGCGGGCGACACATATAGCTCGTGGACGGACGCAATAAAATTTCTGATGAAATTTGGAGTATAAATAAACTTTTTTCTACTGATTTAGATTCAAATAATATAAGCTATTTTTTTTTAAAAAAATACATAGTAGTTAAAATTGGATGACAAAAGCAATTGTTTTCTAATTGGCACAAACTCAAAATACATTTACCTATCTTGAAAGGTAACCCAAAGAATATTTTGTTAGGCCAGTTTTGCATCTTATTTTTTCATTACTTTAAATTAATACCGAAGTGTCGTTTATATAAAACATGTTTGTCGTTTTTGTATATTCTGTGGGATTTAAGGGCCATCTATTGAAAGTATTTGTAAAATGCAGTTAAAAATGATGCCGGTAGGGAAATCTTATTTCTGTAATATTTCAAAGCTTTCAAAACTGAAAATCTCTGATAGAGACTTGATAAATGATTAAGCAGATAGTAAAAATTAATTTTAAAAAATGTTTTAAACTGAACAAGAAATTAGAACTGAAATAAAGCTCAAATGTTTGTGTCAGAATAGATAAGGAAGGTAAAGTTGAAAGACCATTGTAAAAGTGACAAAGTGGTCATTGAATGCTAAACGTTCTGTAGCAATTAGTGTTCACACGGAACGTGTTTTTTTTTATCTGTTGACCATCTTGAATTGACAGAAAACTTATTGGTAAAAAAATTATTAACAGAATCAAATATCAAGGCCATGAAGACAGGTACCTCGGCCGTCAAACTAGTTGTTTTATGATTGCTGTAAGACAAAATCACTGGTTGTAAAATCAAGTTCAGATTAAAATGTTTGTATGCAAGGATGACACAACAAATTAAAAGTAGGGATGTCAAGGAATATTCGAGTACTCGACTATCGTTCGATCATACCCACTATCGACCGAAATTTTTAAGTCTGTTATTCGTTAAAAATATGCTACTTGATAGTTATCTTAAATTCAAGGTTAAAAAAATGGATCCGCCAGTTCATTTATTAACGGATAGTGTTCTCGTGAGTAAAATTCGGGCTAACCGTAAGGCTTAACCGGTCTTCGTTAATTGTTCAAAGGAAATTATTTGCTTGTCGATTCTCGTTCGGCAAACATGCAATGAAATACTTTAAAAGATTTCAGATCCAAATTGTGAAGTTTTAACCTGCAATTCCTTATGTTCTCACATAATGCAACTATATTAATTAATGAAGAATTATTATAATTTAACAGCTGTTAATATTTGTAAATACATGTGAATGGGGGGGGGGGGGGCAGTTATGAGCGTAATTTAAAGGTGTTTCTTTCCGATATTATCAATCATTTCAATATTGTATTGCTTGTTTGCAAAAATCTCATAGTTGAAATTTATCGCAAGCTCGCTTTGTTTTTATAAGAGGAGCATGTACGCTTTAACTGTCTACCAGTCACGGGTCACTGACAAAACGCATTCAAATGGCTTCAGGTAAGAAATAAATTGCGGGTACATGCACTACCATAATGAAAAGAAAGCCGCAAATGCGAGCGTTTGTTATCCTGTATTTAGATAAAATGTGAAGTAAAAATTATATTTGAAATCAAATACATTGGATATTAATATTTTTTACAACGTAAATGTCAACGATTCTATAATTAGTTGTATAATGGTGATAGCGTAGATTAAATATTGTACAAGCAAGCAGTCATAAAGACAAATAGAGAAAATGACATGAAAAATTAAAGTAATTTCAACGAGTACTCGACTATCGTTCGACTAAAGCCTTCGACTATTCGACTAAGCTGTCCGAGTAAAATTTGACATACCTAAATAAAAGTTTAAAGTTCACTTGTGGCAAAATTTTGGCCGCAGTGGAATAAAAAGTATGTACATTAAATGGTAAATCAAACAACATTCAACTGCAAGGGCATGCCAGTTAGCAAGAGCAAGTCCCAAATAACACACAATATATTTACATTTTTGAGATGTTAATGACAAATTACATCAACAATCAACGTTAATTAAACATTTCAACATTCAAATTGTCATCAAATTGTCAATATTGGAGTTTTATGAAGAGACTTACTTTTACAATCGACGACTGACTTTTACAATTTAAAGGGACCAACTCCAACTACTAAAATGGGATCTTAACATTCATTGAGCCATTTACTGTTAAAGTAAAGCAGAAGACAAAACAAAGCATTATGGTTAATAATAGAGTATTACCCTTTGTCTTTAAAAACTACTATTTGTCTCTTTTTGTTTGAACGTTTCGCTCTTTAATAGCATATACCCCAACGAAGACACACGCGATTCATATATGTACGAAGTATGGTGTATATCTAGTGCAATAAATACAAAACATGTTAGAGTAATAGTGTTTTAACATTGTAGTGACAAGAAATCTATAGATCTATGCTACGTAATGGTTAATATCTTAATAAAATAGAAAATATATTCCAACCAGTATTTTTTATTCAATATTTGTACATTACGACAATAGTTAAAGGTTAATGTTTTCTCTTCTTGTAGCCAGCCCTGCAACAATAAACACAATTCGGCGAAGTTGTCTTCTTTTATGCCTCCAAACACTACTTAATATTTTATAACTTTTTAATCTACAAATAGATCGTTCAACAAGAGATCTATGTGTTGAAATGATACGATTTACTTTTCGACACCTTCTTCTTTCAAAAATGTTTCTCCTATTTATTTGTTGTTCCGTAAATGCTGTAACAATGGGGTGACGGTTGGGATATATTTTATCCCCAAGTAAAATGCATTCATCTGGAAAAGGTAGTTCTGGTCCACCTATTTCTGGAAGACGGGAATACTGTTGAGCATCATTAAGATGACCCATAAAACCACACTCAACAAATTAAAACAAATGGTTCCGAAATTGTCAACAATTACTTGGGTATGAATGGCGTGGAAGTGACGATGACCAGAAAAATACAGTTGTTGGGGTTCTGTTTGGGGTTTGTTAATTTTTATTGATGTACCATCAATAGCACCAACGGCGAAAGGAATCTGTGGCCATATGTTTATTTTTTCGCGCCATTCTTCAACTGTTGGCCATTTAATAAAAGTTTTGCATACGGAAAAAAATAATGGTATGAGCGAGTGAATTTCATCTTTAATAGTCGCAACACTGATATCAAATAATGTTGATAGTACATGGTATGTCGGATAACATCTCAACCATATCAGAAATAAGAGAATCCTATTTTTTGGAGATAGTCGATGGGAACTGTGTCTTGTATATAATTCTTCTCGGCTTATCATGACCAGGAGATCAATCAAAGTCTCGGGGGACTCCCCAGTGCATTCATAGAAACCAAACCTATTCCTTGAAAAGAGTCGAAATAGATCCCTTCCTTTCCATACGTTTCCAGACTCTAAACCAAAACGGTGGTGTACATTTAGTAAAGGGTCTGATGGGGGTATGACTGCCATCATGATAGTGAGAATTATCTTTCGCAAAAAAATGTTGATGTCTGGAGGGGGTCTCAATAATGCAGGAAGAAAAGCTAGGGAAAATCTGCTTTCGTCCATTAATATTGTTCTGCAAGAAACAATTATTAATAAAATCAGTTATTGTCAGAACAATAAGAATGTCCTCTTTATAGAATAGATTTGTACTTCACTAAATTAGTTAAACTTTTTTCCTTTTAGAAGAAATTATTTTTGTTAACGAACAATGCTTTGAAATTTCCATACAAAGTAATTTTTAATTGTCAATCAAATACAAATTTAGAATACATGTTAATGTATTTAGAGTCAAGAATCTTTTTTTCGTCTACATAATTTGATTTTGAATATGTTAAATCTGTTGATTGAACCGAAATTTGGCAATAACACTGAGCCGTATCGATCATATGATTCTATTTAAATCCTGCACGGGTTCGGTAAAGCCTTTTTATTCTTGAATCGACACCGGTATTGACAAATCTTGCTTGAAAATGAGTAGCAGTGAAGTGGATGAATTGCCTGATATACCTGAAGGTGAGGTTAAATATGCATTGCTTTGAAAGTACGAACAAAGTTTACTACATTTAAACAAGGCATGATTGATTTAGACCGAATACTCACCAAGCACTCCATTAAGAAAACGAGGCACTTTCTAAACTTTGTCACGTGCTTACTTAAACTATATTTAGAAATAAAATTATATTCATTCGTTTTCAAAAAAAGCACTTACATAGCAAAAGTATATTTAAATTCATTTTTTTCTTAATTCATTATAGATGATATGATTACAATCGTCCAGAGAAAGAAAAAGCATATAAAA